GCCCCTGGCAGCCGCGGGGCCTCCAGCCCCATGGCGGCGGCGGACGGACGGCTTTCCGTGCCCTGCGAAGAGGAGAGGCCCCGCCGTCAGCACCTGCGCCCCTCGGCCGGGCTCGCCCCGCAGGTGGCCTGGGAGGGGCACCGGGGAGGGAGGTAAACGTTCAGAGCATCCTCTCGGCCCCGCCTGGTACCCACACGCCGCCCTGTCAGCAACAGGTCACAAAGAAAGGCCCTGCCGCCTCCTCCGGCCACCGCTTGCGTCCCTGTGACCGCATCTCCTAGAACACACCCCCACCAGCTGAGCGTTCTGATCTCCTCCTTTGTCCCCTCACACCCCTGCCCCACCATCTTCAAAAAACGTCAAGAGACTTCGATATGTTCCAAGCCCCCAGGGGAATGCCTGAAACCACAGACAGTACTGTACCCTGTGTGCACTGAGGTCGTCCCTGTGCATACACACCTACGCTAAAGTTTAACTTATCAATTAGGCACCGGAAGCGATTAGCAACAATACCTAACAACGAAATGAACAATTCTAACAACACACCACGATAAGCGTTATGGGAATGTGGTCGCTTGTCTCAGGGGAACCCCTGGCTGAAGTCCCTGTGTAATTAGCTCATTGCTTTCTGGCCCAACGCCACCGTCAAGCAGACCGTGTTTTCTGCTCCTGTCTCCCACCCACACACTCACTGCCTTTTCGGTCCGAACCGGCACTCGCCCCGCACTGTGGCCGTGACTTTCGCAGTCTGTGGTGCGACAGCAAAACTAGAACATTTCTTTTTCCACCGCGATTTCACAGATGATTCATTTTTATGGTCATCTTCCAACCTACGCATTCGAGTTTTGTTGTTTTTTTTTTTTCCTTCCCTGATTAAGTAGAGAACGTTAAAAGCAGCACGTTCCGACTTCTCGGTGGCATATCCAAATTGCCAGCATCGCTGCTCTTGAGCTCTGGGCCCACTAGGAAGTCCAGGAAGGGCTGCTTGAACACAGGCACCGAGATACCGTTGAAGCCCGGGGCTGCGAGCGCCTGCCACGTGTGGACACGTGTTCACTTGATTGAGCTTCACAGGTGTTGCGTTGTTTTGTTGCTTTGGTTTTTGTTTTTTTTTAACAAACTCGTTTCCATCCAGCGCGGGAGGGAGCGGGACACGGTGGGATTTCATCACACGACTCGGAATACACAACTTCCAACTTAAGATTTCTGCAATTTCCCATTTCATATCCTCAGCCCACACTCAGCCGGGGGTAACCGGAACCGCGGAAAGTGGAACCGCAGCGGCGGAGGGAGTGACTGCGCTTCTCAGGGTCCCGGGCTTCTCCCCATCCTATGCTAAAGCCCTGGTCCTGGCCACTGAGGTCCTGATGGAAGGACCTTTTCTAGCCCCTCAGTGGTCTGTGTCCCTGCACCTTCCTCCACGGCAACCAGGCGCCATCTTTCAAAAGTGGCAAAGCCATCGTACACTCCCCCCAAAGAGGCCGAACTCTAACAGGCCCTTTGTACCTGGACTAGGCACACGTATCCCCTTTCCTCACCTCTCTCTGCCTGGTACCCACTCCCTGTTGCGCCCTGGCCTCCTCGGTTGCCCGCCCTGAGCTGAGCCAGCACAACCCTCTGCAGGGAGCCAGGCAAGCGCCCTGCCGGCCCCCAACCCACACACAACCCCGGCTGCTCCCATGAACGCTGGTCTGTCCACACGCCCCAGGCTGGGAGGCAGGGACCGCCCTGTCCCCATCCTGTGGCATCTCCACGGCCCAGCACAGTGTGTGACTTCGTCGCTGCCCAACTGTGATAACTAATATTTATCCAAGGAATTTTTCCGGCTTCACCCTCCCTCACCAGCCCTGACCGCCCCGCCCTGCACCACTTTGTCACCGCGTTTATCTCCGTTATTGTGCTTTGTTTTATTGCGCTTCACAGGCGTTGCCTTTCTTTTTGTTTTTGTTTGTTTTGTTTTTGTTTTTGTTTTGCAAACAAACTGAAGGGAAGATCTTCCACCAGCAAACAATGACAGCGGGCTCCTCTGCCCGCACCGCTCAGGTGCCTGTCTCCGGTGATGCCGGCGGCGAGGCCCTGCGCTGCGGGCCACGGGAAAGGCGGCGCGAACGGCGCTGGGTCCCGACAAGCGCCTATGCTCTGGTGCATGTATTTACGAGCTACAGTATCCATCGTTATTCGACAATGTCCTGTTTCTACGTATGAAACTGAGTTCGCTCGCTCCGGAGGTGACCGCTTTGCGCCCCGCTGGAGTCTCCCTCGCGCCTGATCCAGGCGCTCGCCGCACTGCCCAGGTGGGCAGGCGCGCACTCCCCGAGGCTCGCACTGTACTCAACTTCTCTCAGCGCCTGTAACGCCGTTTTGGTCACGAAATCTTTCCGGCCCTGCTCGGGGGCCGGCGCTGGGGACACGGCGGTACCTGTCCCACCCCCCTGAACTTTTTAGCTCCTTGCGGGCCCGCTTCCCTGCGCCCCGAAGGCACCCAGAGCCGTCCGCCGGCGCGGTCGGGCTCGGGCGCGGGCTCGGGCGCGGGAGGCGGGGGCTCCGGGGACGTCCGGAAGGGTGGTCACCAACGCGGGCGGCTCCTCCCCGCCAGGCCCGGGTGGTCGGCCTCGGGCCCCCGACTTAGGGGAGGGGCCCCCGCGCGCCCCGGCAAGGGCCCCGGGAGGCTGGAAAGCGCGGATGGGCGCCAGCGGGGTGCCGGCTCCCCGCGCCGCCAGGACGGCCTGCGCAGGGTCGCTCGCGGCCCCCACCTCTCCGGGGGTCCGCCGCTTACCTGCCCGGGTGTCAGCGCAGCCCCCGGCCCTGCGGCCAGCCTCCCAGCCCCAACGCCGCGCGCTCTGATGCCGTCACCAGGACCCCCGCCCCCCTAAATGATCCCGCCTTTCCCTGCAACCCCGCCTCTGCTCGGGCTCCGGGGGCTGAGGCAGGAGCCGGGCGGCGCCGCGCAGTCTGTCCGCAGGCGGGACGCGGGGGCGGGGCGGGGCCGGGGCCGCGGGGCGGGGCCGCGGGGCTCCGTTCCACTCGGCGCCGTCCGGTCCCCTGCACGGGGCGCTGGGTGCCGATCCCGGCACCGGCCCACACACTTCTGGCGACCCAGCGACCCAGCCGCCGGCCTGATTCTCGGAGCCCGAGAAGCCCCCTGCCGCCGGCGGGACACCCGCGTCTCGTAGGGGCACATTGTAACACGTGAGAAGACGAAGATTAACCCCGGGACGTTTTCGCTCCGCGTGGGGTTTCCCAACCCCGCGACTCTGGAAAACCGCGCTCACGCGTTCGTTTATTCGGGTGCAGGCCGTCCCTCCTCCTGCCGCCGCATCGCTCCCCTTCGCGGCTCGCCCCCCCGCCACCCCCGAAACTCACAAGGCTCCCCCTCCCCAGGCAGGGAGCCTCCACCCGCTCTGATTCCACGGCCCCTTCTGAGACTGAGGAGGGTCCATCTCCCACGATGTTCAGGGTGGCGATGGGGACCCGGGCCGCACCAGGAAGCCATCGCTGTGCCCCAGACGCAGGGTGACGAGGCCTGGCCCGCAGCTCTGGCTTGTGAGCCCCAGTTTGGAAAGAGCATGGGATCCCTGGGTCCATTGGTCATTTGTCATCTCAGCTAACAGAGGGACCAGAAGGAGGAGGGCAGGCTGAGTCAGTGGCAATGGGAGCAGGGACCCGGCCTCCCCGTTTCTCCTCTGCCATCACCATCAGACAGGGAACATCCAGGGAAGGCAGAGAGCCAGCACTTGACTCTCTGGGCAGCCGCGGATGAAAATGAAAGCAGAGTGTGGTTTGGGAGCCTGCTTGGCACTGTCTCACAATTTTAAAACGCAGACACCCTTTCGCCCATCAAGTCCTGGTTCCAAGTGACAGGTTCATCCTCTAGATGTATGTCCACACGTGTACCCGAGACATTCTGAATAAGGACATTTATTGCAGTTCTGATTGCAGTAGTGGAAAAAAAAAAAGAGGCAACTTCAAAGCCCTTTGTTAGAGAACTAGTTAAATCACATTATGAAGCACCTACTCTGTGGCCTTTAGAAAGAGCGAGGAGGATTTACGACCTCTAAGGTGTGTTGTGAGGGGAAAGAGCAGGGAGGCAGAGCAGCCTGCAGCGGGGTGACCCACGCGGGAAGTACGCACGCATGTGCTTGCCCACGCGCCAGCAGCAAAGGGGAACCCCGACCTCAAGGGGGGTGCACCACCCTCTTGCAGTGTTTGAATGTGAAATTGTATGTCTGCATGTCTTAGATTTACCGAATATTGGTACCTCCAGAAGTAGAGCTCGGGATGCTCTAAATCAGCGGTGTCCAGCCAGGCGCCCCAGGCCGCACGCAGCCCAGGACGGCTGTGAATGCAGCCCAGCACAAAACCGCACATTTGCTTAACACATTGTGAGATTTTTTTGTGATTATGTGATTAACATGTGGCCCAAGACAACTCTTCTTCTTCCAGTGTGGCCCAGGGACGCCAGAAGGCGGGGCACCCCACAATAGTATTGACCTTCTGCAGTGAAGGGTCACCACCGCCGTCGCCCCCACGCGAGGGACACCAGCACTGCAAGGGGAAGGCCAGGGGGAAGGCACGGGTGGCAGCCGGTGCCCGGCGCGCAGGATGCAAAGGGATGCGCCAAGGGCCAGAAGGTGGCGCTGTGAACACGAGAACCCAGCCTGGGAAGCCAAGGGGCGCTGCGAACACACACACTCAGGGACGCTGATACTTCATATAAACACACGAGAGCTTTTACACTTGACTGCGGTTCCTTCAAAGTAGCCGACGGGGAGGCTGCACACTCGGGAACCTCTGGGCTTGGAACTGTGCCCAGAACTCCTGCTTGGTTGGACTTTCAGGTTAGCAACACAGCTCAGCAGTGGCAAATGTTTGTCTAGAGGACGGCCCTAAACCTTGGAGACAGTCAAATAGTATCTGGCCACAGGTTTGATTAAAGAAGTGAAACATCAAGTTAGGCGACGAATCTTTTAGTAAAACAAACAAGACCGAATCGAAGCAGGTGGCTGCTCAGATTTTTCTTTAAAATTGGCCGCAAAGCCCACAAAAGATGCTCAGAGACGACGTGTGCCGAGCTGCAGGGGGCCCCGGGGGCTACTTTGAAGAAGTCAACACTCTCGTGGACGTATAGGTTCTGCTTACTTGCTGGTGACACGGCCCTGGCTCCGGCGCCCCGCGGCGGTGGCCGGCGGCACGGGCGCTCAGCTCTTCTTGCGCAGGTGGCTGTACTGCGCGCGGCTCAGGATGGGCTCCATGACGCTGGGCCGGAAGAAGCTGTCGCTGACCCTGCGCGCCGGCTTCTCGCGGGGCGCAGCTGGGAAGGCTGAGCGCGGGGCAGCGGCCAGGTCCACTCTGTCCTCCAGGCTCTGCGTCCTCATGCCGCGCAGGCTGCCTCGGGGCTGCGCCAGGCCGGCCGGCGCCCCAGACGCCCGGCGCTCTGTCTCATCCGGCGGGTTGTCGATGTCCCGGAACTCGCTCTCGGGCTCCATCAGTGACAACCTGGGGAGCTGAGGACCCGGCAGCTGGTCAGGGCCCAGTGTGGTCTCACCCTGCGCCTCCCACCCACCGCCTCGGAGTCCCGCCTCCCAGGAGCAGCCTTCGGGGACACAGGCCGGGCGGTGGGTCAAGGGCTTCTGGTGCAAATGGGTGGGGTGTGCAGGGGAGGCAGCCGAGGTCCTGCCTGCTCTGCGGGTCTCCACGGCCGGGCCCCCAAGGCGAGGCAGGCCCCCAGAAAAGTTCCTGGACCCTGGGGTCTTTCATGGGGAGGCCACGGACTGTCCTGGGGCCTGACCCGTCCTGGGGTCGGAGTTTTAGGTTAAGCGTGGCCCCCACACTGCCCTGGCTGGGGTCAGGGTACCCCTGCCAAGCTGTTTCAGGCCCGAGGTCGACCCGCAGGCTGCCTAGACCCATGGCGCACCCCTGGGGGCGACGGCGCCCTCAGGGTCAGTGGGGAGGGGACCTACCGGCACATAGTGCACCACCGTGTCCACCACGTTGTCCGTAACCCCCTTCAGGGCGTCGGACAGGGACATGGCCCTGCCTTTGGTCGAGGAGACAGTGCGGGCCGACCTGAGGCCCAGCATGCGCCCTGCCATGCCCAGCGCAGTGGCAGGCGCCCACGTCACAGCCGAGATGGTGCCCCGGACGGCCTTGTGCAGGGCGTGTGCCACGCTGCCCAGCAGGCCTGGCGGCCGGGGAGGGGTTGCCACCTGAGGACGGGAGCAAGGTCGGTCCTTTGGGCAGCATCTCCCTGACCCTTCCCTTCCACACCACCCCCAGGGCAAGAGGGGAAGAACTGGACACCTGGCTCTGCCACCAGCTGTGTGGCCTCGGGCAGGTCACCTCCCCTCCCTGCAAGTGCGGCCAAGTCTCTGCCCTGCCCGCCTAACTCAGGGCCCGCGTGCACGTCCGCCGGCAGAGGGCACGAAAGCGTCTGCAGTGGCCCTGTGCGTCCCCCCCGGGGCCTCCGCGGGCTGTGGGACCTCGGGGCGTCCGCACCCCAACCCAGCTGCGCTCTCACCTCACTGAGCTTCTCCTCCACCTCCTCCTCCTCCTCCTCCTCCTCCTCCTCCTCCGCCTCCTCCTTGCTCTCTTCCTCCTCCTCCTCGGTGTCCGTCTGGTCCTCGTGGTCCTCGTCCTGGGCGGCAGCGAGGCTGTGCAGCCAGGGCACCCGCACGCTGCTCCGCCGCCGGAACACCACCTGCATGGCCGCTGACGTGCCCCACTGGGCCAGGCTGCTCTGCGGGAGCCAAGGAGGGGTCCCTGGCTTCAGCCGCTGCAGCCCAAGTCCCTCACCCCCGGGGCGGGGTGGGGAGGGGACAGGGCCCTGCCCCAGCAGCCTGTTCTTAAAAGTTTTTGCTGAACGCTAGGTACCAGAAAGCACACCTGTCTTTCATGGACGGCGCCATAACCTGTTACAAACACACACCCGTGTGCGCAGCACAGGTCAAGAGAGACCATTTCAGTGCCCAGGAGACTCCCCGCTGAGGGCGACCACATTCTGACCTCTCCCACTGGTTTTGCCTATTTGTGAACTTCATGTGATTGGGCCGAGACAGGGAGTGCATTTGTGTGAACAGTTAGCTCTTTTGGTTCAGTGTGGTGTCGGGAGGCAGTGCTACTGCCGTGTTTCTGCGTGACGCCCCAACACAGGAGCACGCCACACATGCCCACGCCACTGGCAATGGGCGTTGGAGCTGTTCTCTGTTCTTGGCGAGGGATAAAGCCAAGGGGAACATTTCCGACTGTCATTTTGGGGGGACAGTGGCTCTCGTTTCCGCTGGGCGGAACGGTGGGGTCCCTGGGGATGTGTCCGTCTGGCAGGAGCCGCGGCCCCTGCAGGTCTTTAAAGAGTGGAGCCAGCCGTGGGCCAGGGCACCCGGGGCGGGAGCGTCAGGCCCCCACTGCTACGTGGCCCCCGGCGCGGGGGGCACGCCTGCCTTCCTGCGGGGGCCACAGAACCCAGCGCACTGCAGGTTCGCAGCCAACGTCTGCTTGAATGGACAGGCCGGGCCAACGATGCTTTTGAAAGGGCCCCCAGATGATGGCCGAGAAGTGTGTGCTGAGCTTTATGCTTTAATATTGTGTGTATTTCCTGTTTGGGCCCCAGCGGCTGACACACAGAGAGACGGGGGAGGAGCTGACCCTCCCAGGGCCTGGGAGCGCAGCTCCACTGGAGCAGGACCCAGAAAGGGGATGAGAAGCAGCCTGGGGCCATGGGGGACCCCACCCAGCACAGCGCCGCTCCCTCGGGCGATCTCAGCGGCCACCCAGCAGGAGGCCCGGGGCAGGAGGCCCGGCTGGGGGATGAGAGGGACGGGACCAGCCGCAGCAAGGGCGATGGAAATGGGGGCGGGCCACGGCCCTGCCCGGCGCCCTCGAGGCTGGCCCCGCTCTTTCCCTGCAGCCTCCAGCGCTGGCCCACCGCCCCCTCGGGCCCTCGGCCCTGGCTCCAGGCTGGCCAGAGCTCAGGGCTGACACTCACCAGCGGTGACAGGCCAGGCACCCACATGGCCAGGGCGTGGCCCTGCTTCAGCACCTGGGCCGTGGTCTGGAAGGTGTGTTGGGAGAGGGTGTTGGCCAGGGCCCCAACCCTGCGCAGGAGGCTCGGCTTGGCCTTGGGAGGCTTCCTGGGGTCCGGGCGTCCTGGAGCGGAGCCTGGGCCACAGGGAGGGGGAGAGGATGGGGACAGGAGATCAGCGAAGCCGCCGTCCCAGCTCCACCCTTTCCCCACTTACATCAGGGGAGAGGGGCCCAGTGAGGAAGGGAGCCCCTGAAAACCCCGCCAGGCCTCCCTGCTGACTTGGCCAATTCCCAGGCCACATAGGGGCCACCGCGCTCCCCAGGGTGGATCTGCCAGTGGCTCCCAGCAGATACCTGGCTCTTCGTTGGCTGGAGGGAGGAGGCGCTCGACCACCTTCTCCACGCCGCTCAGGGCCAGGTCAGCCCCACCAGAGGCCAGCCGGCCGGCGCGGGTGCTGGCAGCATACTCGGCAGTGCCTTTGGCCACCCCCCAGGCGAGCTCACAGCCGGCCAGGGCCGCCCCCAGGACCTTGTCCGAGGTGCTGGCGATGGGCATGCTGATGCTGTTGCGGGCGCTGCGGAGGCGCGTGGAGATGGTGTCCTTCAGTTCAGAGGCGATCTTGGGGGGGAGGCGGGGGTCAGGCACACTCAGAGGTCCAGGGGACTGGCACCGATATCTGCCACAAGTCTTCTCCTTTGTAAATGGGGACGGCCACCCCCTCGCCCAGGGTTGACGAGAGGGTCGCCTGAGACCCTCTCCGCAGCCTCGGCCTCGGGCAGGCTCCGCCCCTGAGACGGACAGCTGGGTGCTCCGTGAGACGGGCGGGCTCAGAGACGGGAGCCCCGAAGCGCCTGGCATGGCTGCGCCCACAGCAGACCCCAGGGGACACGCACCCAACGGAGGGGTCCCTTCAACCTCGTGGTCCAAAGGGTTGGGTCGTGAGGACGGGGAACTGCAAGCCTGGGGTCCGTGGCCCGAGACCTTCGGTGGCTGTGGTTATGGCTTGGTCCAGCGCAGGACCACGGGGTGTCTCGGGGAGGGGAGGGTAAGGGACAGGGGACCCAGCCTTGCACCTGCTGGTGCCAGGAAGCCTGCCTCCCCTTGGCCCCCCGGGGAGAGGAGGACACAAGCCCTGTGGCCTTCCGGGCGGGCAGCCTGGGGAGCACTGGCCACAGAAACAAGAGGCCCCGGTCATGGACTCAACAGCTCGCAACCCCGTCCCCAAGCGGCAGTGAGGGCGGTGCAGCAGGGGTGGGGGGGGCCAGAGAAGAGGGGAGGACTCACCTTTTCGGGGGGGTACTGCAGGGCGGGGATCGTCTCCTCCAGGTGGTCCAGGCCCCGGCAGGCCAGCTCGTTGGCCGCTATGACTGAAGCGAAGGGCCGAGCTGCAGTGAGCCCCGCACGCCAGGGGGCCCTGCGGCGGCCTCTGTACCCTCGACCCCAGCCCTGCTCCCTCCGGACTGTCAGTGACCTGCGGCCCCTGCTGCCTCCGGCCTCCATCTGCCGTGGCACCTCGAGACCGGCAGCTTCTGCCCTCTGAGAGCCCGGAGGCAGGCAGGCCTGCACGCAGCCCGCTGCCCCCGCATCTGCGGACCCTGCGAGCTCCTGCCGCTGGACGGGGAGCTGCTGCGGGTGCCTGGTGTGCCCCGGGCCCCGCCGCCGCCGCCGCCACCGCCCGCACAGCCCTGCCCGTCGCTCCCGCCTATCCTCTGGCCCATCGCTGTTACCCTGTGAGATGCCCGCTGGGAGTCTATAGAGGAGAAGGGATACAGCTACAGCGACATCTGTACAGCCGTACCATCTCTGTCTAGAGGTGAGGAGACTACGTAGTGAGTCAGACAGACACAGGAGCAGACAGACCAGCAAGCCATCAGGTGATCAGGCGGGGGGACGGCGCGCACACAGACCGGCAGGCAGGCCGCGAGGACTCACACTGTGTGGACAGCCTGCGGACCACCGGCTCCATGCTCCAGGCGGCCAGGCTGCTGGCGCCCTGCACACCCTTCTCGTAGGCGTTGCACACAGAGGCCACCAGCGGGTGGGCTTCCTTGGTGCTGGTGTAGGTCTTCTGGACGCACTCGCAGGTGCCGCTCACGACGGGTAGCTGCAGGACCCGCTGCAGCACGTTCTCCTGCTCCTGCACGGGAGGGAGGGGGTGTACACGCTGTCCCGCCTCCCTCTCCGGCCCCCCTCTCCCGCCTGCCCTGGGGAGGTGGCCCCAGGGCCACTGAGCCCACTGGCGAGGTCAGCCCGGGTCCAAGTGGCCTAGGTGGAGCCCAGGCCACAGAGGTCTCCGGACGCCCCCGCTCACGGTCTGGCCCTGGAGACATCGCTGTCCCCAGCCTAGCCCGCTCGCACCTACAGGCACCGAGCGGCACGCCAGCCTGCCTGTTCAGCTGCCGTCCGTCTTGGTTTGGGGGCTTCACGTAAACATTTCCCAGCCGGTCTGCGCACGCTGGCCCCACGCCCCGGTCCCTCCCGGGAAGCTCCCTGACTCTCCTCGTCCTGTCGGAGGCCTTCCTTCCCCGGGCTGCCTCCACATGCATCACGTGAGGCTGCGACCACGTGTGGACCTGTCTCTCCCCCAGCAGACCTCCACTTCTGTCTCCAGTGCCCACCTAGCGCCTGCACAGCCCGTCAGTGGAATCCGCAAATCCCAGATCTTGCGTAAGTGCCCATCTGCCCAGCTGCCCAGAGCACACGCTGGAGGCCGCGGGGGCCCTGCCTCTGGGCTCCCCATGCCTCTCCGGATGCAGCGTGGCCATCCCGAGCGGCCTGCGCCCCTCGCTGGACAGTGCTGTGGGGCTGCCATCCGCCCCCACCCACCGCCCCACCCCCGCCCTCTGGCACAGCGCTGGGCAAACCTAGTCCCTCAAACTCGCACTCGCTGGCCCTTCCCAAGTTTGAAGGCAGACTCGTCTTCCCCTAGTGCTCCCTTCCCCATGCAACACGGCGCCAGGTCCCTGCTCAGCTCCCAGAGGGCCCGGCCTGGTCTGCTGACCCCTCCTCCGGACACGCTGCGGCCTCCCGCTGCCTCCCACACACAGTGCTCGCACTGGAAGACGGCGTTCCAGGCGTGGTCTGAGTCTGGGGGGCGCAGGCCCGGCCTCCTCTCTGGGCAGGGGCTGAGCGGCCTGGCCCGCCAGGCCAGGGAGGCATGTACGTGCCCCGGATGACAGGCTACAGTGGCTTAGCTTTTCGTCCTGCTGGTGAGTTTGAAAGGTGAACCAGAAAAAAGATGACGACTGCGGACAGAAAACATTTTCTTGAATGTTTTGGACAGAGTCTTCAGGGGTTGTTTCAGACAAGGCAAAAGCGGGGAGAGGTTCTGGGAAGGAAAGAAACCACTACCCGCTGGCATGGCTGACCAGCGCACTTGACCCCCTTAGGTCGAGCGCATTCTAGGATTTGCTTCAACACTTAACAAGGCGATTCCTCGGGCAGAGGCTGGTTAACGCTAAGCCGGGCACAGGGAGCGCTGGACGGGTCCACAGCTTTCTGGCTGCACTGCCTGAGCTGCGCCTGAACCAGAGGCCTCGCCAGCGGGTTTGCAGGTACGTCCGAACGTGCTGGCACATTCCAAGTCGCAGTGGAAACCAGGCTCGACACAGAGCATGGACACACGGTCCCCAACCCCTTCCCACACGCAGCAGCACAGGCTGCGCAGTGAGTGATGCTGAGGGGGCCCCTGTCACTGACGGCAACGTGCCCACCGCCCTGGTTCCAGGGCTCAGTGGCTCAGTGCTGGACGGACATCCGCCGAGGGGACAGCGCACGGGCTTCTGCCCCGCTTCCCTTCTCTCCCTCCCCGCCCGTATTTCTTCCCCCTTTCCCCAAAGCCCTTAGTTTTTGATCAGCATCTTTTTTTCCCCAGGTCCTCTAACAGTGCCCTGCAAAACGTAGCAAGGGCAAGAGTAACGAAGGCATGGCACTCTGTGAACTTCACTGTCACCTAGACGGGTCCTGCTGCAAGGCCCCTGAGCCAGCCCTCCCGGCTGCCCCCTGCCCCGGTGTCCACCCCCTGCCCCAAGAAGCCCACGTTACTTACAGGGCGGTCTCCATCCAGCAAGGTCGGGCCCTTGTTGACTGCCATCGTAGCTCGTCAAGCTGCAAAGCAGAGCACCCGGGTCCGTCAGCAAACCCTCCGCATCAGATCCACGGGGTCGGCCCCGCCTGTCACGGCCGCCAGCAGGGCCCAGGCTGCCCGGGAGCTCGAGTGCCCCAAAGAGAGGGCATTAGGCTGGAGGGGGAACGCCACAGACAAGCAGCCCCCTCTCAGAGCCCCCTAAGGATGAGGGGCCCACAGCCTGCTTGCCAGGATGGATGTTCCTCACAAGGGTTCGGGGTGAGAAGTGACAAATGAAGGCAGCTCTGAGAGTCAAGAGGTTTTAGCTGAAGTTTAGAGGCCCTTAAGGCAAGGGCCCAAAACAGATTAGAATAGGTTTGTGGTTCAGGTATTTTTTTCTTTTTAATGAAAAAGTCCTGCAGGAAATCCTCTCTCTTTACGCAAGCCTCTCTCCCAGCCTCCTCTCTGTGCTCGGCTGGGCGAGGAAGCAGCCACCGTTAGGCCCTGCTGGTCAGGCTGCTTGCTGGAGAAGCTGGCGCCCGGGACCCTCAGCTCCGCACTCCCTCTCATCCACCTTGCAGGCCTCCTCGTCCTCAGTAAGGCTCCCGGCAGGCCCTGCCCCTCCATGCCTTTCCTGTGGCTCTCAGAGACCAACCAGCTGAGACAGGTAAGGCAGGCGCCCCGGCCCCCGCACTCACTCTAGCCGCCGCCTCCGTCCCAGCGCCCGGCCGTGGACAGAGTGCCTCCTCCAGCAGAGGCCGGTCCGGCTGCTCCGGGGAGTCTTGGGCAACACTCCTGACACCTCTCAGCTGGAGGAGGCTGAGGGGAGGAAGCCTGGTCCATCGGTTGTCCTGGTTATTTGACCCAGGGTCCCTGGGGCATAGCCTCAGTGCTGTAAGACTTAGCCAGCCAACTAGGGGGGAGGTAGATGGCACCGCTGAAGGAGCTCCAGCCTCTGAGCAGTGACTGTCCCGTAGCCACGAACTCTCAGTTCTGTGACATGTTTCTGGCCCCCGTTCTCAAGAACCTGTTTTCCAAAAACAAGGCAGTGGGCTATGTGGCATCACTCTTGTAAGCTCTGAAGGTCTTCCATCGTTGGCTGCTTTCCCCCAGAGGGTCCTGTGGGGCTGGTTTCAACCCCATCCCATGTGCCTTACTCTCAGGAGTGAATTCTGAACAGCAAGATTGAGCCCCGCTCCGGTCATACAGAGGGATTGCTCTTAGTCAAGAGAACCCAGGCTGGGCAGTTGACTCCCCGCCTGCCTGGCCTTGGAGGGAACAATTTCAGCCTTGGGAAATTCCTAGATTTCGGGGTTTCCTAAACACCACCTGGTCCGACATGCCACCGGAATACACAGCTGGAAAGTCAGCTGGGTTCTGTCAAGTCTGGACAAGGGAACATTGACCAAGATTCTGTGGTGGACCAACCACCAACAGCTGTCGCCTCGCACCCCTCCTTAGCGATGGGTCCGGCGGAGCCCAGGGTCCAGCTCCTGGCTCCGACTGCGGGAGGGCTACGGGACGCCCACAGCGCCCCCGGCGCGTGAGAAGGGCCTCTGAATGAACATGGATAGCGGCAGAAGGGCTCGCTTCCCTTGCTGTTGGTGCACTTCTATCTAATGTTGCCTCTAAGTTGTATGTTGTGGACTACGGGGAAAGTGGCAGAGAGAAGGTGGGGAACATCAGATATTTACGACATACCCGTGGCAATCAGTTCTGTATCTGTGATATAACAAGGCAGGAAATGCAAAGTCAGGAAGGGGAGAGAGTCCGGCAGGGAGCCTCCAAGGGAAGTAGAATAGCATCTGATACATCTAACCCTTACGGCTCCAGCCTGGAGTTCCAAAACACGAGGCAGCCACGGGCAGGAAGGGAAGCACCCGAAGCAGCGGCCTCTGCCCTGGCTCCGAGGCCCAGGACACGTGACCCACGCGGCCGCATCTGGAGAGCAGCCCTGGGCCAAAGGGCAGTGTTCCGCCTGGGGAGAAGTGGCTGCGGGCCAGAGGGAGCGCAGGGCCCCACGCCCACCCACTCTGCTGCCAGGGCCGGTCCTTGGCAGCGGCGGCTGCGCATCCAGGACATGGGTGAGAGGTGAGCGTGGGGAAAGGGCCCGCAGGCCCCCCGGGAAGAGCCCGTTTCCCAGCAGCAGCAGCCTCGAGGACACAGGCACCGTGCTCCCTCCCCCCGCCGCTGTGCTGCCACCCCACCACCACCGCCACCCGCCGCCCCAGCACGGGGCCGCGTCATCCCGTGCACGGTGGATCCCGAACTAAGCGTGGTGCTCAAATGTTCACTGTTGAAGAACAGGCTCTGGGGCAACAAGTTCAGCGGTGAGTGTGCTGGCCTGGACATCGATTAGGAACGTCTTTGGTTTTTGAGTCACTCGTGAGAGTGGAGGCTCGGAGGTGTGTGGCGGGTTAATGAAAAGGGAGAAGGATGCACAGGGAGGGCGGTACCAGGGCACACGGATTCTAGGTTCTTGCCACAGATTCGGGGAGAAGCGCGCCCCTCCAAGTTCCCACCACCGCCCTGGCTTGGAGAGGATGGAAGGCCCCCCACGGACACCTCTGTGACTGGCCGCCAGGTGGAGGCCAAACCCCACGGATGGGCCGATGCGGGGACCCTCTCCTGGGCGGCAGCCTCGATGGGGTCACCGTAGGGGTCTTTCCACCCGCGGGGTCTACCCCTAAATCCTTCCTCCTCCTCCTCCTCAGCATGGGCCTCCCGGGCTCACTGTGCCCCCTGCGCAGACACTGCTTGACCTCGTCTCTGGGTCGCCTTCCTTCACACTCTTCTCCGTTCCCAGGACACAGTCACAGATACGTGAGTCAGCTTTGTCTAGAAATTTAATTAGACGTAATTAATCTGTTTCAGTAGAGAATGTGGACCAAGGAAAAACAGTTGTTCCAACTTTTCCTTTGTCCCGCCTCAGGCGGTCTTCAGCCTCAGGTGAGGCCAGGCCACGGTGATGATGCCTGCTACAGAGGACACCAGCCCTCCCAGGCCAATGACACCAGGGTTGGACTTACAGATGCCCAGCTGGTCCAAGGGATTCAGGATGTCGCAGAGGTTCTTCACCGTGTCCAGGAGCAAGGGAGGGTGCTTCCGCAGGGAGCGGAATAAGAGCAGGAGAAAGGACTGCAGCCATTCTGTCTCCTCATCGGCCACGCTGTACCCCAGAGGATCCTGGGAGGACGACGTCTCTCTCTCCGCCCTGTGCCGCGCCGCCTGCTCCATCTGCACGGAGATTTCATACAGATCCCTGACCAGGCTCAGCAGGAGGGAATAGTAGTAATGGCGTGCGGCCCACAGGCGCCATCTCTCCTTGGGAATGTCGGGGGCGAGCCCTACGCTCCTCACCCACAGCACGGTGTCGCAGATGAAATAGACCACGCGGTTCAGGTTGGCCAGCGTCAGGCATATGCGGGGCACCAGGTCCATGACGTGAATGCTCTGCTGCGTGGCCTGCACGGCGTGCACCACGTTGCCCAGCCTGAACCCTGCAGGGAGAGCCCACAGCAGTGAAGGTTATTTAACCCGTGTGCGGCAGGCGCGCGGGGCCCTGCATCTGGGCGAGGGCCAGCACCGGTCTTTTAACAAGACTGTCACTTGAGGCTCCCTCCTTGCTCAGGGAAGGAGGACGACTTCACGGCACGTCACTGACACCTACAATGATTCTGGAAGGCACAAAGCCAGCGGCGCTGCCTCCGTTCCGGTGAGTGCGCAGCATTAACGTGGCCCGCAACGCACTCAGCAAGGTCCACTCGAGGTGCGCCGTCCCTTCTGGCCACCACAAGCGCACGCTTCTGTAGGAGAAGGGCCCTAGGGTCACATGAACTCTGGACACGACATTCTTTCAGAGGGTCTGATGCCTTACGTTTTATTTATTGTACTTTCCACACAAAAGATTGCTTTTAAAAAATTATCACTTTGCCATTTCTCTGGTCCAAACCCACTTTGACTCCCTACGGTCAGAAAGACAAAGAAGTAAAGATGGTGGGATGTAGGGACAGAACAACTAATACTATTGTCATATGTGACTCGTAGCTGAATTAAATCAACCACTACAAGGCACGTCCTTATCTGAGCAGGTAATTCAACTAGTCAGGGATGTATCAGTCATCTATTTACACATCAAATACTCAGAATGAGTTCCAGTCCTAAACATTAGGGAGGGCACAAAAGGAGTTTCCTTACAGGAATACATCTTAGACTCAGCAAACGCTCTGAAGCAGCTCCCCTCAGGAAATTTATAATCTCAGAAGAATGTTCACAATTCTTTTTATCAAAAATAACACAAAATAAAACTCGTAATGACTAACCCTGGGAGCCAGTCTGGCACTAGCTGACTGAGTGACCTTGGCTACGTCCTTTCTGAACCCCCGAGACTGATGACCGCGGCAGGACCTTGAGCTCCAACGTTCTTAAGAAACCTGAGAACTTCTATTCCTGGTCTCCAAAGCCATCCAGAAAAGCCACCTGCCTTTCCCATCCCACGTGACAACGTGAGACTCCTCTAGTCAGACTAGTTTTCTCGCCGATCCTCCAATACCAATGCTGCCTCACTGCCGAGCCCTCACTGGAGGCAACCGCCCGCCAGAGCCCTCTCCTTGCTCCTCTTGCCGCCACACCTCAAGTTCCACCTCCTCCAAAACACCTTTTTTCCCCCCTCGACCAACATATCTGGCACTAAATCTAACCTCAGTCTACCATGGGATCTTAGTTCTCCCACAAAGCTCAGGTTCAGCATCTGATTTCTACACTCCATCTACCTGTTGTAGAAACATCTGGTTCTCCTCAAACACCCCGGGGTCAGGCACGTGACTGTTGCTGGAAGCATGGGATGTGCCAGGATGGCCCTATCAGTCCAGCGAATGAAATGAGCACAGAACGCTGACTTCACTTGTTGCCTTTCACACGAAACCACGCCACAGATGGCCTGAGAACATGTATCTATTTGCTCAAGCGACCCCTCAAGGGCAGGGGGTCCAGGATACAGCTAGTCTGCTCTTCTAGAGAATATGAAGGGCCCCCAGTAGCTAGGAGCCCGTGTCAGTGATGGCCAAGACACCGTGACTCCGAGAACTACAGCCAAACAAACGCAGTGTATGTCCCACGGGTTACGAGTAACCCGGGGCTACGCTGTGCCACCACATGGGAACATGGCAGTGGTTGGGAATGGTCTGCGGCGAAACATCCAGCTCTCTTGGCCTGCCATCCCACGCGGGCCGGCTGACTGGGCGACTTCATCAGCAAGCCTGGCTGACGAGGGGAAGCCAATGATCGAGGAAGCAGTTTGTGAATTACAGAGTCTGAGGCTCTGAACCAGGAGCCGCTGTCCCTCAGGAGACAGGGTACTTACATTTACGACCAGTGCTCACACTAGACTCCAGTTTCTTGAGCTTCATGACCACCTCTTTGTCAGCTTTAGGCTCTAACAAATATCTAAGCAACATGCATGTGTACTGAGTGGCTCTGAAATGGAAAAAAAAAATGACAATGACTTACAAACCAAGTAAAACTGATTCATGGATTAAAGCAAGGAGAAACATGTCTTGCCAAAGGCAGGGTTCTCGAGATAAGGTCTCCTGCGGGCAGCTCTTACAAAAGCCAAATTCTGCAACGGTCACTCCACAGGGCCAAAGGGTACAGCCCATGACGGAAACGCACACAAAGGTAGCGGAGGGGCACCTGGCGATGGCGCGGAGAACAGCCCCCAGGGGGCCTTCTGCTGGCACAGGGCGGCAGGCACGGTCACCGTGGTAAACTGCACAAACCCCGCCCCCGCAATGCTGATTCATAGCCTGTATTTTCTTAAGTGCAGAATGATTCTGCAGGTTTTCAAAATGAACTCTTTTTTGCCATAGTTAACTTTTGCCTGAGGTGACAGGAGACACACTCAAACTTGAACCAAAGGAAAAGTCCGCAGTTTGAACACCGCGTAATTTTTTTCCTAAGGACCGAGTACATGCCAATGCGTAATGAAGTTGAGAAAGCTGTCTTTCGAAGCCACCCAGTGCTCTGTATGAAAGGCAGACAGGCTCCTGTTTAGTAATTCTGAATGTTCGAGAGTGATTGCTGCCATGACTACAAGTAAGAGTGCCTCAGTCACAGGGACCTAACAGATGAGAAAGTTCATACCCCCACATCGAACAGCTAAGTGCATTTATACAGCAGGTGCCTGTCTCCTGCTGACCTGTGACTGCCTTTGAATCCTTCTATGTGATAAATATTACTCTTGTGGGGAGGAAGACATGTTCCTCTACCCTCAAGGTTCTTTTGGCGGGTCTAATAAATCTATACGAGACAGATTAACAAGAGAAAATAAATGCATTTAATTGCGTATGTTTGTGTGGGAACAGGTAATGTTTGTGTGAGAGGTTCAGACACAGAAAGGGAAACTGAGGCACATTTGACATTCTGAGCTCAGGGTGAGGTAAGGTGCCTTGGGGCTTCAGAGGGGAGGAAGGTCATTCTCGGGACAGTAAGATGCACAGATGTTCAATCATTACAAGTTTGCCCTGAACTATAGGTCATAAAAAGTTATTTCTGGTGTCAACTCTTCTGGGCAAGGCCCCGACTTTAAATTCTTCTAGGTAGTTAATGGAGGTGGGACAGAAATTTCTCTTGAGCCCACTGGGTATCAGTTGCCTTTAGTTCAAAATCATCCACATATCACAGAGGCACATCTTGGGGTGACTTGTTCCCAAACCCCTACACTCTCAATTAAAATTTTCAAGTAGCACATTTTCCAGAATGGCGAACTTGGATAATCACCCCCACCCTCCGCAAAGTATGCTTCGTGGCTAAAGGGCTCAAGCTGGCCACCTTCTCAGATTTGGCCTAACAAAAGGAATGTGTCCAAAAACAAGGCACCGTTTCATGAATGCCAGTTTGTTCATAGAAGCTGCGGACCACCAAGAGGACTGGGCAATGGATAGGAGGCCTTTCAGATCTTGCTGAGTAAGTGTATGCTACACAACTGTTTCACGAACCAACCTCGCTGATAATCTGGCAGGGTACAGGCTGAGTCCACTGGAATCGGAGGCTTCTTTTTGAATGAAGCTTGTACAGAATGCCACCGTTTTTTCCATCTTTCAAATTAAGGAGAAAGGTCGCTTGGCTTGGTGGTTAAAGAGGTGGGCCCTGGAGTCCACTGTGAACATTTAGATCTCTCAGCTCTGCCACTGAAACCTTCTGCTTCAGTTTCTCCCTTTGTGAATGGGGGTGGTTTCAGGCAGGGGTGTCCAATCTGTGGCCCGTGGGCTGCGTGCAGCCCAGGGTGGCTGTGAATGGGGCCCAACACAAAACCCTAAGTTAACTTAAAACATTATGAGATTTGTGTGTGTGTATGATTACGTGCCACAATGTATTTAATGTGTGGCCCAAGACAACTCTTCTTCTTTCAGCGTGGCCCAGAGATGCCAAAAGGTCGGATACCCCTGTGCATTTTAGTGCATTTTCCTCACAGGGTTGGGATGGGCGGTTGTGACCCACTGAAAATGCCACCTGCCCTGGAGTCGCTTCCCAAGGTCTCATTACTGGGGTTATTCTCACTGGTCTGTTTGCATTAGTACTTTCCACCCCGAAGAGGAGGAAAAGCTGCTAAATCAAACTGTAACTTTTTTCCAAGAATCAACCAAAAAAGAACATCATGAACTATTTCGTATTAAAGCTGCCATGCATGTTCAACTTTTTCGGTAGCACAGCGTGTGCTTCCGAGGGGCTGCTGTTCTCGCATCCGGGCTCGCACACCGCAGATGGTTTCGCATTTTCTTTCCCGGTTCGCAAAGCCTCCACCGGGGCAGGCAGGGCAGTAATGCCACATGAAGGAAGTAACTCGGTTCCGTCTCTCCCTATGCATGTCATGCGCTATTTGAAGCCACAGCCAAGGCGTTGGCCCCCTCGTCACAAATGCCAACCCAAACTTTGTGTGGTTATTTCTTTATTTTCACCGAGGGCATGCTCACTGATTTTTGGAGAGAGGGAGAAAAACCCATCGGTTGCCTCCCGCAGGCGCCCAGACCGGGTACCGAACCCGCGACCTTTCAGTTTACGGGAGGACGCTCCCACTAACTGGGCCACACTGGCCAGAGCCACAGTTACTTTTCAAAAAAAATAAAAAAAATAAAAAACCAATTGCTTGGAGAACGCAGTGTCCCCAGGTTCGGAGAAGGGGGCTCCGGCAGGTGTGACAGGCGGCGGGCTCGCGGGGGCGCGGGGTTCCCGGCCCAGCCCCGCCGACTTCAGGGTGAGCGGGCTGAACGCAAAGTCCTCCGGTCGGCGGAGGGGAAGTGCTGGGCGCCGCGGGCACCTGACTCACCTGAGGAGCCGGTCCCGGCCCTGGGTCTGGTTGGTGAAGCGCGTAAAGGCCTCCATGGCGCCCGACCTGCGGCCAAGCGACCCACCGGGCTCGGTCGCGAGTCCTCAGGTGCTCCGTTGGGTCCCCGCGGGAGCGACGGGTTCGCGCCCAGACCCGGACGGCAAGAGGGGCTGGGTCCGTCCGCGCGTAGGGCGGGCGCACCTTCCGTAGGGCGGGCGCACCTCCCGCAGTGCGACCTCGCGGGCTTCCGGTAGGGGCCGGAAGTTGCGGTTCCTAAGGCAACGCCACGCCGCGAGCCAGGTGAGCTAAACCCCCGCTTAGGCTCTGCGGTGCAGCAGCTTCCCACGTGCCCTTGGACTCCCCCTGCATCCAGAAATTCCTAGAGGGGTTCTGGGGGGCCGTCTCCCGGTCTCGGGCGTTCCCGGGACGCCCCGCGCCTCCCCGCGGACCCCGAGTCCCAGGAGCCACAGGTGGGATCCCGAATGGAGGAGATTCCCCCGAACTTCTGCTTAGGGACTAAAGGGCCTAATAATTTCCCAGGTCTGTGCCTCGGTCTCCTGGAGCAACACCTGCCGCCAGGTCTGGGGGAGCACATGGTTAGAGGAGAGAGATTGCCAATCCGAGGGGTGTATTTCTAGCTTGGGAGCCGGGTAAAACTGGGAGAGTTTCCTGTTAGGATTAGGGAACACGGAATGAAGATTGCCGCTCGGAGAAATCCTAAAACGGTTAACACGACCCAAGTGGGGGCAAAAATAGATTACAAGGACATCGCACGACTGAACACCTCTCCTGCGGGGCTTAAAGACAGCGAACCCCATCCATTCCACAGCAGCAATTTTATAAAAGGTACCCCCTACAATCACAAAGTAACGTCGCCTATTTTTGTAATCTTAGAGTCCCATTGTGCAGGCCTGCCCGGAACACTCGCAGGCCCGGCGAGGGCGGGGGGCGGGGTATAGAAGTACCAACAGAGACCCACATACCATGTATTTAAAAGTTTCAAATCGAAGTAACACATTGTTAAATACAATACGATCCGTTCTGCTATCTGGACAAGCACACTTTCATAATGATCTAGGTGTTGTTTCAGGCAATACTGCGCTGCAGGGGGGGCTGGCCCCAGTCCTTCCCACCCCCTTCCCATCCCATTCCTGGCTCCCTGCCGCACCACTAAGAGGGGCGTTGCCCACAGGGGTGGATGCTCCAAAGCCACATCCAAGTCTGCCCAAAGCCCTGCAAACAGCCATGCCTGGGACACCCGTCAGGTCTAGGGGTGCACTCACTGGCAGCTGGGAGAAAAGCTGGGGAAGAGACTTGCAGGCAGCGTTTGGGCAGTAAATTTCAGGAGCGTAGCTCCCCTGAATGTGGCCTAGACCCCAGAAGGAAGCACCTAGGCTTTGCGATGGTGTGATCTTTCCACCCCACAAATTCACTCATCCTTTGCACAGGGAAGTACCTAGAAGAGAGCCAGAGGTATTCTCCAAGATCATATCCCAGGACAGGGCAGCACTGCCACAAAAAAATTTGTTCAGTGCTGGCCCTGCGCCCCACACCACAGTGCTAAGCTCTGGGCCCAGGTATGAGGTTAGTGAGGGACACAATAGGTAAGCGCAACACAAGTTAGACAGCAATTATTCGACATGCTTGACATGCCTCTGGTTGAAGAGAGAGAAGAGGAGAAGTCATGCCTCATTCCTCAGCTGGCTGGGGCACAGCCATCTGCAGAGAAGGAAGAACCAGGAGAAGACATGAGTAGTGGGAGGGAGGGTGCATCCCCTTTGGGGAAAAAAGACAGCCAGCCTCTCTCTTATCAGTAGGGGGAGAGAGGTGACAAGACTGCCAGCTTCCTTTGTTTCCCTGCTAGCACGCCGCATCCAGCGCTGGCCTGGAAGATGTGACTAGTCAATACCTGTCTGTGCTGATGTCCTTACTAACATGAAGGGCATATCACAGGGCCCTGGCTGGGCAGCTCAGTTGGTTAGAGCATCGTCCTGATATGCCAAGGTTGTGAGTTCAATCCCTAGTCAGGGCACATACAAGAATCAACCAATTAATCCATCAACAAACTGCTGTTTCTTTCTCACATCAATTTTTAAAAATTCAAAAGAAAATAAGAGCATATCTTAGCAATGTGGTAACAATCCCATAATAAATATGGAAAGTGCCTGTCTCTAGAATAAAGACTCCCAGTGGACTCATGCGCTAGAGAAGATGCTACTGTTTTCCCTCCCCCATTTTCTCCAAGTACCTCTGCTTACTTCTCCCATCAGCTCTTCCGAGTCGCAGAGCCGGTCGCAGTGCTGCTTCCTGTGATGTCATCCCCTCTCGCAAGGCGAGCCCAGAAGATGAGGCTGCCCTTTTTAACACAAAAGGGACAGCTGGAGGTGCCGTCCCCAACAGAGAAGGACTTGCTGAAGGAGGATGCAGGGGTTTGTGTCTTCAAGGATCCACATGAGGAGTTGCACTCCCTGCCTCAGCCTTACCGAATGATCAACAAGCTGGTGAACCTCCTGTTCGACCAGTCGTGGGAAATTATCGAGGAGAGGGACAGGCTGCGGGAGGCTGAGCTCAGCCGGGTCCAGCCCACCATCTACCCTCCAGTTTTCCAGAGCAAGGTATGCAGCATCTGACCAGGGATCCCTGTGCCCTCGGCTGAGTGTTCATAAACTGAAAACACCTAATCCAGGAAGGGCCTCCCCGCCAGGAACCTTCCTTCAGTATGACAGCTGCATTTTTGAAAGATGCTAGGCAAGCTGACTGTCTGGGGAAATGGGTGATCTGGCTCACTGAGAGGATTGCGCAGAAGGTCTTTTACGTGCAGCTCTTGTTATTTTAAAATCTTTCCGAATGTAAGAATCACCCTCTGGCTTGCTGGTGGAGAACCTGCCCGTGCCTCAGTGATGGCTCTTTCCACAGCGTTACAGATGAACACAGGGAACTGGGCCGCTTGTCCGCGCATCGCGGGGCCCACAGCCATGCTCAGTGTAGTGAACACACATTCATCTCTGCTGCGCTATGTCCTCGGGCCCCTTCTTGGTATGTGGGCGAGACACTGAGCTGAGCCCTATGCTTGGGGATGGTAGTATTATATCGAGGAAGGGCCATATACTGGCACATCCCTCTTTGAAATGTTGGCTTATATTTCTTTCTTTCTTTCTTTTTATCTCACAGCTCAACAACGTGCCAAATTGTATGGCTATTTCCCAAGACTATGTGTTTATTGGAGGAGCCAAAGGATTCTCCATCTATAGTCTGTACAATGCTAAACAAATATATGTTTGGGATAAACTGAAGGTTGGAGTCACGTCCATCTGGGCCACAGATTTGGGGACCGAAGTACTTGTTGCTCCTGTGGATGGAATGGGTACTCGTTCTTCATCTTCCCTATTTTACACGTACCTGTAGTCTGCTGTTCAATCTTATTTCCTTCCCAGGTGTGGGCGGGGCCTCACGTGGCACCCTCTCCCTGGTCACATGGTATTGTGGTAACAAACACCCACAGAACAGCATGGCATGCTAGGCACTCTTCCAACATTTCCCATATTTGGTCCATTTAACCCTCACAACAGCCCTGGGAGCTAAGTATAATTTATCACCCCTGCTTTTCAGAAGAGGCAACTGAGGCACAGAGGTTCAGTAACTTAACCTGAGGGAACACAGGAAGTAAGTGGCACAGGCAGGATTCGAACCAGGCAGTGGGGCCCCGGAGTCCACGCTCGGTGGGCCCTCCGCAGTCGTGCAGCCCACACGAACCAGGGCTGGCTTTTTCCACCCCCCCAGCCTGCGGGCAGGCAGGGCCCTCCCTCCAGGGGACAGGAGCACAGGGAAGGACAGGGGTGGCCTGGCCTGACTGACAGTTTAGGACAGGCACACCCGTAGGAGTTTGAAAAAGCCCAGCGAGAGGCGGGGCGACTGGGGAGAAGCACCGCAGTCCCTGGGGAGAGAACGCAGGCTGGTCTGGCCCGAGGGCGTGGCAGGAAAAACCGCCTGCTGATTTCCTGAGAGGCTGACATCAGGGGGCATGAGGTGAGGGGCATACGGCGATTCTCTTGTGCTAGTTTTGCAGGTTTCCTCTGAGGGTAATATTAGTTCAAAATAAATCCCACTGTGTCTGGTCAGTTTCACGTCTGTGTGACCCGCAGTGTGATGACTCGGAGGGCGGAGGCGGCCAGGTCGGCCGAGCACATGCGTGGTCGCAGCGCAGGCGTCCCATGGAGGTTGCTGGGCTGAGCTGGGCTCACCCTGGTGGGCTGCTTGCCTTTGCGAGGTCTGTGTCACGGGTGGAGGGGCAGGTTAAGAGTGTCTGGCGGGCACCTGAAGAAAGAGGCAAGAAGTCACGGTGGATCAGGATCCCGTAGTGGAGCCCGCAAGCTAAACGGGAATTAGGATGACAGACATTACGTATTAAATCAACAAACTCAACTGTGTGAGAAGCTTCTTGGGCGTTGAGAGGTGAGGCATGTAGAAGAGAGAGACCTGATCCTTTCCCTCAGGGGATCTGTGAACTCGCTAGAGGAACAGAAAACACCCACAGGACACAGATGGATGACAACAGGAGGCAGTGGGATGATGACCGAGTCAGGGGACAGAAGTCAGGGAAGGGGCTGCTGTAGCCAGAGGGCTCCCGGGAGGCTCCCAGGAGAAGAGGACTGGCCACGGGCCCCGTGGGCAGAGACGGCCAGGAGGCAGAACTACTGGGACATTCAAGTGCGGTGGAGGAAGACAGGAAGGCCGAGGCCGCGGCCGCGGGCGGTGGAGGGCCCAGGGAGGAGGCCCGAGAAGGCATGAGCCTGGAGGACAACGTCAGAGAGTCCAAGAGGAAGTTCGGTTCTTCTTGGGCTCACTTCTCTGTCTTATATTCTTATTTATGTTTCTGCTTCAGGTATCATTAGACTGTTCTACCTTTACAAGGATGGTCTTTTCTTCATCAAAACTATCAATGAAGCGGTAAGTTCCTCTAGCTGGGCCACAAGCTGTAGCAAGTCAAGGTTACTTTTTTTTTTTTACATTAATTTTTTCTTACTGATTTTTTTTTTTTAAGAGAGAGAAGAACGGGACCGGGGAGAGAAAACCATCAATTTGTTGTTCCACTTAATGACACATTCATTAGTGGATTCTTGCATGTGCCCTGACTGAGGGTCAAACCCACACGTGGGGTATTCAGACAATGCTCTAGCCAGCTGAGCTACCTGGCCAGGGCCCCCGTGCCTCACGTTTTGAAAGGATTTATGTTCCTGGGTGGGAACCACACCCGGCCGGACACGTGCCCTGCTCTGTCACCAGGCAACCTTGCTCTAGCAGCTTCTTTCTTCTTTTCAGGATGACACCAGCAAGCAAATGCCCTGTATCAATTTGGAGATCTCTTATGGAGGGGACTTTGCAGCTTTCCTCCTCCAAGGCAAGTCCTGATTTGCAGTCTCTTCTAGATAAGCCCTTCTTTTGCCCAGGCCTCTTATGTAGACATCGTCTACAGAACAGTTGCAAAGACAGAGTTCTCCCACCCTTTAGCCAGTGTCCCCAACACCAACATTGACCACAGCCCTGGTGCATTTGTCAAACTTAAGCAAATAACATCGGCTTAATACTATTAACTGCAAGTGGGGTTCCCCGCCCCAACCCCCCGCAGATTTCACCAGTTTTTCTACTAATCTAGTTTTTTTTTTTGCTCCAGGGCTCAATCCAGGATACTATATTGCATTCAGTCACCTTGTCTCCTTAATCTACTCCTATCTGTGACTGTGTCTTGGTCTTTCCTTGTTTTTCATGACCTTGACGTCTGAAGGGTACCGGTCAGGTATTTTGTGCCGTGTCCCTCAGTTTCAGTTTGTCTGAGTTTTTCTCATGCCGCTGGGGGTAAGGATTTTGGGGGACGAGACACAGAGGTGAAGGGCTCTTTTCATTGCTTCATGTCAGGGGGATGTGACAGCAACATGGCTCACCACCGCTGATGTCCACCTTGCCCTTGAAGTGGCATCGCCAGGTTCCCCCACTGCTGAGCCACCGCTTTCCCTGTCCCAGCTCCGTCAGAAGCAAGTCGCTGAGTCAGCCCACACTGATGGGGACAGGATTTAAATGCCATTCCGGGAGCCAGGAGGGTCACTGAGTTTTTGGATATCCGTTGAAACCACCACAGCAATTGGTCAACTCCTGTGGGGGAGATAGTCGAGACTCTGCACATGCCTTGTTTTGCCTTCAAGTTTTGCCCACCAAGCACAGCATGTACCAGGGGGTCCTGCCTGTTGCGATTATGACTATGGTGATAGAACCTATTTTTTTCCAAGTGGATTGTTAGCTTGATTTTTAACTTTTAAATATTTAGACACATGCTTTATGGGCTTCTATTTATAGTCTTGTCCAGGCCCCTCAACTGCAAAGTGCCTGAGGAAGACGTGCATTTCATAATGTTCTCTGCATTAACAGCAGCTTTTGTTTCGTAGCAGATTCCTAGAGCTGCCAGAACAGAGTCCACAACTGGGTGGCTTGAAACAGCAGATATTTGTTTTCTCGCAGTACTGGATGCCAGAAGCCTGAAGTCAAGGGGTCCATGCGATCACTTTCTTTTAGGAAACTTTTAGCCAGGAAGCCACCCCAGGTGAAAGCAGCCACCTCCGGGCTGGCAGGTGTCCGGCATGGAAGCTGAGCATATGACAAGCTGAAGTCCCACAAACCCCTGGGGGCTGTCATCTCCCCAAATGTTGGTCAGAAGACTTCTCTGGGGGCATGGCTCCCAGATCTCAACTTCCTCAGCCGTGCCTGGTTGGTTACTGATTCTGCGTTGTGCCTGTCTCCCCAGGCAGCCATTGCTGGGAGACAAAGGGTCAGTGGCACCTGCCACTTGCGGGGCCAGGCCTGGCAGAGTACGGCTAGCGACGGCTGGGTCAGCGCAGGCGCCGTGGCTCTGGGGGTGAGGCCCCGCTGTTCCGAGGTGTCTGCTGGTTTCCGTGTCAGAGGTCCTGAGAAGACGGGCCGTTTCTCAGAGGACACTTGGCGCCTGCCTGCCATTGCTCAATGGCCCCTTGGTTTCCCAATGCAGGAGCTGGGGATACTTGGCTGGATGTGTACAAATTGCCCAAGGAGTCTTGGCTCAAGGAGGTGGAACACCCTCAAGTCACTACAAATCCAAAGAAAAAAGTCAAACAGCCCCAACTGGTAGGAAACAGCAGGTCTTTAAGTGCTATGTTTCCCCCTACCAGGTAGAGTTCCTTGGTAAATATTACTTTACGACAATTTGCTCTTCTACCCAGCGGGCACTTACTATTATTTTTGACAACGAATATTAATGAGTATGCCTTTAAAACCTATTTATTAGGCACTAAAGACTTATGAAATGATTGACTTAGGAGACCAAGGCGGAGATTCACATCCACTGCCAGCTCGCTGAGGGGCTGCGGAGAAGCGCCTGTCTCCCCGGCGGGTGTCTCCACCGGGCGCGGCCCTGCGCCGCAGTGAGCAACACCAGCCCAGAGCTCGTCCTCCTCGGAGCTCCTACAGAATCTATTCTTTGTAGCTCTTCTTGGACACCTCCCACACGCCGCCTCGATTTTTAGCTATCTTGTTATGCATGAAAGCCCTCTTGTCTTAACTGCGTGACAAGTTTCCGGGTTGTTAAGACTATACCCCCCGCTTCTTTTTATCGACCAGCCCCCGCCCCGCCCCCAGTTTCATACTCAGTGCCCAACAGATATGCTTTTGGAGGGGTTCATTTATGACCCAACGGGGAAAAGCACCTTGGAACGGGGGTGCTTTCTCATCGTAACTCAGTTTCCATACACTGAGGGGCAGCCAACTATTGCCACTGTAACTCACAGTCCCAGCGGTAGCCCTGGGACTGTTACAGTTAGAGTTAAATAAAACTGCCAATGTCACCAAAGCATTTTGCCAGTCAGAACTGGCCGCTCCCCCTTAGACTTCTGCAGTGGTCTCCCACCGGATCTTACCTCTGTTCATCCACTATCTCTCGTTTCCCCAACTCCACTTTAAGATCCTAAAGCACAGGGATCATGTGTTAAAACCCTGCCGGCCCAGGGACCGCACAGATATCGCTCCTCCGTGGCTACCAAATGGGTTCCCGACTCCCAGGAGTAACTGGGGGGAAGAGAGAGCCCTCAGAAGATCGAAGCAGGTGGGGGACATACAGCAAGCCCACTGTGAATTAATTTTTTGTTTTCCTTCTTAGAACACTCTTGATCCCATGGCTTCAGATAATTTAGAAATGGTGAGAAACGTTAAAGACAATGCCCAGAGAGATTTGAGTTCCATGGTACAGATATTTTTATTTTGACTTGAAATTTACTTTAAATATCAAATATGCTCCCAAATGCCCCACCACGGCACTGTTTTCAGATCCCCTGGCACAAAATCTTGTGCCTCATGTCCCTGGAGACGGTCCCCACCCATGAGGACAACCGCCCCAAGTCGAGCGTCCAGGGGCGGGCCCCCTGGCAGGGAGGCTAAAAAGTGGGACCCCTTCCGAAGCCCTGGGACTGGGGCAGGGTGGGGAGCCTAGCAATGCACCCACAGGGTCACGTATTTTTGTAAAATCGGCACAAGTAACATTTTTGGCAAAAGCCCACCGTCTCTTTTCATTCAAAATTCTGCCTAGTTTTACAAGATGTATCTTTTTCTATACTTTTAATATATCTGTGTCTTTATATTTAAAATGAATTTCTTTTTGACACTATATATTTGGGTCTTGCCTTTTTATACACTCTGACAAACTCTATCTTTTAATTGGGGTGTTTAGGCCATTTATAGTTAATGTGATATTGCCATGTTTGGGCACTTTTCTATGTGCTCTCTGTTGTTCCACCTGTTTTTCTTCCTTTCCCCTTCTGCCTTCTTTGACATGAGTGTTTTGAACGATTGTGTTTCATCTTCTTTGTTGACTTATTAGCTGTGCTTTTTCCTCATTGTAGGATGTAAACGTTTGTTTTAGAGGGGACGTTAAGCTGAGTGTTCCAGTTCACATAATGAAGATCAAACCGCCCAAACCAATTACAGGTCAGCACATTTCCACTGCTACTCTCTGTCCTTTTGCCGTTGCTTTCTCCGCTCGCTCTTTCTTTGCCTTTTCCCACATTGCCCATCTTTTCTATTTATTAGCAGCCACATCTAAGTTACAAGTGCAATTCTAAAGAGGAAATTTTTTTAAGTCATAACCTCTGGGACCTAAAGGCAAACATTCTCCATGTTACGAAACCGCAGGGAACGAACAGAACTGGGAGGTCAGGAGAGAGAGGTCTCTTTCCTGGGTGCGGGCCGAGCTCACTCCTTCCCGCATCCCTGTGTCAGTCCGTTCGTCAGCACGGTGAGGCCCTCGCTCACGTCACCAATAGGTGCTGCAGCTGACAGCGACACAACGTGCTGAATATAATGACACCTGTTTACGAGACACTCTCTGATACAAACAAGAGTCAAGTTCCTGCAGCAGCTTGTCACTGTGAAGTGGAAACGACATGTAATAAAACAATGGGAGTTTGTCAAGAGGCACGGGGCTGGGAGTCCACTGTAGGCAGAGCATACAGTGTACCTTCTCGGTACTCGCATGTGACCTCAAAGACAAAGCTACAAGAATGGTCACTGCAAAGTTATTTATGGAGGCAAATGGCTGGTTAGATCAAGTCTGGTACACTCATACAAAGGGATACTTTGCAACCATTAAAAACAAAGTGGGGGATGCAAGAGGCCAAGAAGAGCCAAATCACTCTTGTAGAAGACCCTGATGATAAGGTTTGCTCCATCAAGATTTATTATAAAGCTATAGATACAGATAGATCAAGTAGTTAATGGAGACAGAGCTACAATAATTAAGGTCAGATATAAAAATAAATGAGTGGATAACACATAGACAGAAACGTGTATGTAAAATATGGAAAGACAGACGGAAACAGCAGGTAAAACCCAGGTGAATGGAACGGGCCCAAGAGGCAGAGCAGCCCCGGCGCCGAGGGGCACACGCGCCCGACACCAGCCGTGCCGCTGGGCAGCGGCGAAGGGCGTTCCTCTCAGCAAGTGGTGCCAGGGGTCCGCATGGGAACAAAAGTGAGGCTGACCCCTGCCTCACTCTTTCAAATGGCTCCTATGCAGAATATATAAAGGATTCCTACAAATTATTAAGAAAAAGACAGATAATCCAGTATCAAACAGGCAAGAGATTATGCAAATGGACAATTAACATATGAAAAGGTACCCAACGTGGTTAGTTATCAGGGAAGGGCCGGTTAACTAAGAGATATCACTCTCGCCCACCAGGGTGGCTAAAATTATGAGAGACCGACCACACCAGGGCAGTGAGGATGTAGAACAAGCACACCTCCCACCTGCTGCAGTTGGCAATAAGGACTGAGGCAGCCACTTTGGAAAACAGTTTGGCATTATCCAGTAATGCTGAAGATAAAATTTATATCCTGTGACCCAGCATTGACACTCCCAGGCAGGGAGCCCCACCATCCCAGTTTCCCTGGGACAGAGGCATTTCCTGGGATATGTGGCTTTTAGTGTTATAACTAGGAAACCCCGGAGCAAACCAGGATGAACTGGTCGCCCTACGTCTAGGCATATAGCTGACAGGTCTGCAGGGGAAAGCCCCCCAGGAGATACGCACAAGAATGGTAACAGTGACGAGATTTCTGACAGCATCAAACATGAAACCACGGAAATGCCCATCAACAGCAGATTCTCGGCACTCGGTGGAATACTATACAGCAATGAAAAGGAACAAACTAGAGCTCTACGCAACAACACGGATAACGGCCACCAACGATGTTTAGCAAGGCAAACATTGTTAACAGAGCAACAGTATGTAGGTGCATGCCTGCACAGCAAAGTAAAATAACTGGTGAAGTTGTCCCATAAAAGCCAGGAGAATGGCCGGGCTCTTCCCGGGCGGTTGCGGCAGCAGACGGGCAATGCTCTGCCTTCTGACCTGAGTAGAGCCAGATGTTTGCTTTGTAATAGTTAATGAAGGTACACATTTTTACACACTTTTCTGAACGTGTTATGTGTCACCATAAGAAACAGGGTTAATAAATGAAAAGAAGCAGCAAGCGGTGAGGAAGGCCCATAGAACACATTGGAAGAGATCACCAAGGTATTTTGTGGAGCAAAACTGCAAGGTAGCTGGGTCGGACCCAGCTGGAGGCCTTGCTAAAGCCCAATCACAGGGCCCCCACCCACAGTGTCTGTTGCAGTTGGCCTGGGGCGGGGCCTGGGGACCTGCATTTCTAACCAGTCGCCCCTGGACCCTGTGAGATAGATCCCTGTGGACCTGGGACCGCAGCTGGAGACCCACCAGCGTGGCACATGCCACTGTTAGTTTATAAAGAGGGGCCTGCTCCTCGGCAGTCACGTAAGAAGCTGAAGACAGTGGCTGCCTGGTGGAGGGGACCCGAGCCACTCGGGGAGCACCCCAGCCACTTGAGGGAGCCGGGCACTTCCCGACGAGTGCAGGCTTCTGAAAGTTGGGGCGTGAACCCAGAGAAGACATCCCTCAGTTTTACTGTGCATTTAGGGATGGATGAAAGGCAGGAAGTGAAAGGTTGCTGGGAAGAGAGGAGTGACAAGGAGAGTGAGTGATAGAGGAAGGAGGTTCTGAAACGGGAGGTAGTTGTGAACGCAAGCACCAGAAGAGGCGGCACTGCCTGGTTGCGGGGAGGGGTCTTCCGCAGTGCTCACTACTGATGGCGCTGGCGGCCCGGGGCCTTGCTGGGCTTGCGGACACTTCCTGGGCCTCCTTTGGAATGAGGACGTGATGGGTGGGGGTAGCGGGCGGCCTGGGCTTCCTGAACACACGGGGCAGGGGAGAAGCTGGGAAGGAAGGACAACACCGGGCTCACGGAGGGGTCACAGGCCAGAGCCCTGAGGGGGAGGGATTCTGCAGGCCCCTGGGAAGCGTGGGGGAGGGAGGGAAAAACAGGAAGGGGGAGCTGAATGGTCTGACCAACTGCGGAATACTTTCCACCTAGGGACCACATTCAAGAGCCCCCTGGAAGTCTTTGCAAAGGTCGAGGGCTGCTACGGGCTGGGCTCAGGGCACAACCACTTCATCAAGGACAGCCAGTGGGAGCAGCAGGCCGCCATCTTCAACGCCATGTACAAGGAGTCCCTGGACGGGGACAGCGAGGAGGGGCCGCCCAGGTGCGCCAGCCACCCCACGGCCCTGGGCCTCCCCGGGGGCGTCGGCCCCGGCTGTCAGGGCGCCGTCTGGTTTGCGGCGTCTTCCTGGGACCGCCAGCAGGTCTTTTGAGGAGCCGTGTGGCGACGGCATAGAGTTAGCACAAAGTCTGAGAATGTGGATGTCACAAGAAATAGGTAGCTGTGCAGATGACCAGCGGAGCGCATTATACTATTTTATGTGTGATACCAGCTCTTACAAGTGTTTTTCTGACTATCAACAGAGAAGACCCTAGACTTAGAACTCTAGGTCACCACTGCTGCCACCTGTCTTCATATCCACCCTGTGGTGTGTAATGATCCAGAGGCATCACCTTCTAACCCTGGTCAGTAGGCAGGCCTCACTCCGCCTGTGCTGCGACTGCAAAAACTGCGCCCCCGCCCTGGACCGTCTGCTGAGCGGCTTACGGAAGCAGCTGCCCTCACAGCTCCTGTGCCCCTCGGGCAGCCCTGTTCCATGTGGGAGTGAGAGCTCTCACCGTGCTCTCCAGTGCTCCTTGCATGTGCTCGCTCCGGGACCCAGCGTCCCAGGGCGAACGAAGCCCCAGCAGCTGCCAGCTGCCACCACAGAGAGCTACAGACCCTCTACAGCAGGAAATTGGGGCTTTAAAAAAAAGAGAGCACACGCCAATTTCTTAGCCCAGCGCTGGTGGTTTTGCCCCCAAGATAAGAGAGCATTCGGGTGCATCGCCCAAGTCTGGTCATTAAAGGTCTTCCCCAAGGTCAGGGGTGGCCCTGCCCAGGGCTGGGTGCTGGCCCTGCCCAGAGAGCCCCCCGCGGCTCCGCCTACCCTGCCCTCACCCCCCAGGGCCAGCACCCAGAATGCCATTTGCCTCGTGGCTCCGTGCCCCCGGGAAGGCCCCTCCCAACTACCCACCCCTGGTTCTAGCACCGAGACTGCCAGCCCCACCCCGCGCCGCCCCGGGTCTGCCACGGCTCTGACCGGGCCTCTCTCTCCCCCAGTATGGCCACGTTCCACTTCCTCCTCGCGAGCTGCGTGATTCAGATGCCAGCAGAGGTCAAGAGCCCCTCAGGTAAGTGAACACACGCAGGTGGCTGTCCTGGGCAACCGGCCAGTCACCCTGGGGGCGGCCTCGGCAGGCCCTCCTAGAGGCGTTGCGCACAGCGCACCCTCGTCGGGGGCGAGGACGAGGTGACAGCTGGCGGGTGTCGGCTGCGGCCCACACCCCCCGAGAACGGGCGCAGGCTCTGTCTACATGGAGTGACTCGCCACAGAGCGGGGTCGCACACGCCCCACCAGGCTGCTTTGGGATATGAATTCACTTGGTAGGAGATGTGACTTAAGACACTGAGGGCCAAATGCACACGTATGACCTAGAAGCTGTGAAAGCAGCTGAGGGCAGTTGTGACCACTATCCCTTCCCAGGAAGGGCACTGGGCCTCCTGGGGGTGCCCAGCCACACACCCCCCGCCCCCACCAGGGAGCTCACCCAGGCGTTGTGAGCTGCCCATTAGAACCACTTTTGATTTCAAACCGACTTCCCTCGGATGAACACCGTCCCCACAAACCAAAGGCCGCCCAGACTCCTCACGTGACAGCCTCTCCCCCCTTTCCCAGGGGTGGCCGGTGTCATTGGTGTACACTGGATGGGACACCACAACTTCTTCCTCTATTCACTGAACAGAACCCTGAAGGATAAAGTCGGTATGTGTCCTCCTCCTGCTTAGCCAAGAGCCTGTGGCTGACACATCAGTGTGGCTTTAGGGGAAGCCAGCTGTGTGTGGTGGCGGTGCCGTGACCCAGGGCTCTATCTCCCAACGGTCGTGTTTCTTAAAGATAACAGGTCAATAGGGACAAAGCCCCGTCAGGGCTCCTTAGTCAGCTAAGGTGAAGAGAGGGCAGGCTGGGCCGCGGAGTCCCCGTCACTGCCCAGCGGTCTCAGGCCAGCCAGCTGACATCCCAACCCCCGGCCTCCGGCTTCTCATCTGAAGCACGGAGCTGATGCGTTGCACCATCCATAGCAAAACCTAGATAGTTGAAAGCTCTTTGAAATGGGAAGGCACTTAGGAAATGTGGGTGGCCATCTGTTGGTTTTTTACAAATTTACGGAGGCATTTACCCGAGCAAGTTGACTCTGTGGAAATTCCTTGAGCTGCACACTTAAGCCACACTTTGGAACTATACTTCCAAAGTCACGCTGAAACATTCACAAAGCAGGAACTCCTCTCCTTGCGAGGCAGCCTGGCATCTGTATCCAGCTCTGGTGCTGACTGCCCGTGTGACCGGGGGGCCAAGCGGCCGCTTTCTCGGCGGAAGTGCTCCCGACAGCGCCAGCGCTCACCGGGCGTGCGCCGGGGTCTAACGGCAGCGCGGCCTGTTGCATTACCCTGAGCAGGAGACAGTGCCGCGCGGGCAGAGCGCGGTGGCGAGCCCAGACGCACTCCTGCCCATGTCCCAGAGGGGCAGGCCAGCCTGCGCCTCAGGCTGTGCAGGGGGAGGCGAAGGCAGGGTGTGGGGGTCAGCCTGGTGAGCGGTGTCCTCCCCACTAGAGCCCGAGGGCGTGTGGCCCTGTGCCGCGCCCATTGCCCTGTCTCTGCTCAGCTGCTGCTGCTCCTACCTGGTGCTGGCCTGCGAGGACGGCGTGCTCACACTGTGGGACCTGGCCAAAGGTGAGCCCCCGCCTCTGCCCGGCACCTGGCTGCGTCTCCGGTTGCTAAGCCCCTCGGCTCTTCAAGGCCCCTCGGGGGCTGGTCCTGCTCTCCTGTCAGTCATTCACTCAACAGACACTACTGAACACAACGTGCGCTGCCACCCCGTCCCCCTTGGCCTGGCCCCAGAAGCCCAGCCAGTGCCTTCACCGCGGCCTTCCAGCACGCGGCCCAGCCCCCTCCTCCCACCTCCACACTCTCAAAACAAGCCAGTCTCTTCCTTCCTGCTCTTCCAGCCATACCCTGGTGCCCTGACAGCAGGAACCTCATTGCTATGGAAGCGAAGAGACCTATCAAGTGACAGACTTCAGGCCAGCAGCTGTTCTGGGTTGGGGGGCACCTTGGTGCAGTCCCAGCCAGGGCCCTTGATCCAGCTTCGTAGGTGACAAAAGTCAATGGGCTCTCTTTACCTTAAATTGATCAGCCTCTAAGGGAGCGTCTCCCTCTAACCAAGCTTCTAAAACAAAGGTGGAGGATGACTCGGTGGATTGGCATTTGAGAGCCGGGGTGGCCTTCCTCCCTGGTGGCCCTCCAGCCGGTGCCGCTCTCTGGAGCGCGCACGGCCATACAGCGGAGCTGGCCGTTCTCGGGGGCTCTGCCAGGTCAGAGGGGTGCCTTCCTCACCTGGGCTGTTTCCTCCTCAAGGATGCAGCAGTTGTTTCAAATAGGGGGACATTCTCCGTGCAGTTCTAAAGGCCCCCCTGAATTTTTTTGATCGCACCCACAGCATTACAGTAACAGCAAAAACTACTTCGAGGGCAGAAGAAGGTTCCTAATTCCACAATCCCTTGCCCAATAGCTTGTTCTCGATTTTCTGAATATTGATAAATTCTTGACTCTGCTCTTCTGTGCGTTTGGTTCTCCCCACCCAGCTGCCCTCTGCTCTCCGAAGGGTCCCCTGAAGGGGGCGCTCCTTGCTCGGTTTTGCCCTCCCAGGCCCCGCGCCCGGGGCTGCATCGCTCGGTCCCGTTTCCGACCTGCGCCTGTGGCTGCTCTCTGCAGGGTCCCCTCTCGGCGTGGTCGCTCTTCCTGAGGGATGTGTCTGCCAAAGCATTCACTTCCTGAAATGGTTCGTAGTCCATGAAGGACGGAACGTGTATCCCGAGGGTCCAGTGACATCCCAAGTGACCTGTGTGGTGCTGTGCACAGACGCTTCTCTCCACCTGGTGGCTGCCAGCAGGACCCAAGGACCCACAATCCGCACGCTGGTTGAGAGGTGGGTGGCTTTGCAGGGACGACAGGGAAAAGGGCAGCAAGACGCTGGCTGGCCAGCTCTCTGTGGTCACTGTCCCCCGTCTCCTGACAAGCCTCGGGGTACCACCAGTCTTCTACACACCGACGTATGTAACGCTCTCCTAACAAAATGGCAGGATGGCACAGACGCCACCTCTCACATCCCACAGGGCCAAGACGAGGATCATTTCTCCAAAATAGCCTGTTATCAGTTTCCCCAAGGACCTCTCTCTCTCTCTCTTTTTAAAACTGTGAAGTAGTTTATGTGTGCAAACGATCTATACAATGTGTGTGTATTTAGCGTGTGTGCGCGTGTGGGGAGAGATGGAGGGAGATGGAGAGCAAGATACACACCTGAGCAACCACCAGGAAGCTTAAGAAGGAGGTCACCTCTGATTCAGTTCCCATTCAGCGGTGTTCTTCTCCCTGATCACACGCTCCCCCACTCCTCCAAGGGAACCAACCGCCTCATCCACCACCCGCTGCTGCATGCGACAACCCGCCACACGGCCACATGGCTTAAGGGAACTGCTGCTGCTTAGCCCGATTCTGCAGGCTGACGTGGTCCGGGCTCAGCGGGGCGCTCCTTCCGCCGGCCTCGCTGCGACTCGCACACGTGCCTGCAGCCGTGGGCAGCACAGGCTGGGCCAAGCCGGCCGGGCGGGTGGAGTTGGCCTCACTCACGTTGCTGGTGGCTGGCAGACTGGCAGGCTGGTGGCCCAGGCACTGGTTCTCCTGCCAGCGGCCTTGCCTGCGGGCCCTGTCAGGCTGCGTCGCCCAGCAGCCGCCCCATGCAAATGCTTTCCCAGCCTGGGCTGGAGCCACCCTGGACAGAGCGTGTCACATCGCCACACCTGCGTTCAAGCAGCGCAAAGACAGACTCCATATTTTGGTGGGAGCTGCTGCCAAACATTGTGCCCATTTTTTTTTTTTAAATCCACCACACTGCCTTCCTCAGTGCATTCCTTTGCTTTCCTTTAAGAATGAGCATGTCCACAGGCCTGTACCTCCAAGCAGTACATTGTCAGCTGTGCATATGAGAGCAGGTAAACCGCGTGACAGTCTGTGCTCTCCGACGTACTTTTAAATGCTGTTTATTCTGCCACGTGCTGTGCAACGTTCTGGAGAGGCCTCTGGGAGGACGTCCTCAGCTACAGCTGTCCTCACTGCTCTGGCGAGTCCCGCTGTGCGTGCACCGTGACTGCTCACGCACTAACAATGGAGGTTTGGGCCGCGCTGTGAACAGTCTCCAACCTACTTCCTGGTGCTTATGTACAAGACTTTACCCAGGATATTTGCCTGGGAGAGGATGGCAACCCTTTAAAACTCCTCCAGGGTGAGCGCCTACGGGTCTTGCTTTCTGCAGGCCAGCGAAGCACCCGGACGAAGCTGTCTGCGCAGTGGCCCCGGTCCAACCCTTACCTGGCATGGTAGGCTCCTCACGCTCTTGTGATCAGGACAGGTGGCAGCACGGGTGGAGGCGTGGGGGCGGGGGCTGAGAGTGCAGGCGGGGAGCAGGGTGGCAGCTGGAGGCAGATGCAGGGCTGGGGAGGGTGTCTGAAAGATCGGGGTGAGTTTCGAAGTTCATCTGCAGAGGAGGGTTAGGCATGGCCACCACATGGAACAGGGTCCCTGAGGAGGCAGAGGAGGCGCATCAGCCGGGATGTGGACCCAGGTCGCAGCGAAGGCCAGCCCTGCAAGAGAGGAGCTGGGGGTACTGGAAAGGGAAGCCAGGGCAAACGAGGGACAGACGCGGCGCCTAGATGAGGGCCTGCTGCCGCCGGTGTCCCCGCAGGGGCAGACGCCACATTCCCACCGCTGTCCTGAGCATGGTCCAGAGGCCGCATGCCCGGGAGCACCCGAGTTCTCCCTGTTTTCATTCCTGATGGCCAGCTGCTTCTCCGACTCCACACTGGGGCGAGTGACAGGGTCGAGAAGTCCCCCTCTGCCACCTCTGTTCCCAGGTGCTGGTCTTCTCCAGGAACGGCTCTGTGCACCTGCTGGATGTGGCTGGGCCTCAGATCGTCTGCGGCTTTGCTCCCCCCCGACCCTTCCACCTGGCAGCCCCCTGGAAGCCTGTGTTTGTCGTGTCTGCGCACCAGCCGTATTTCCTGCTCCGAGGTATGGCCCGGGGACCATGCGGGCGCTGCCCGGACCTGTGGCCTGGTGACCATTTCCCCGACTTACTTCCTCAGTCCCCTCACAGAGCCTCGGGTGACCCACCCAGCCTGCTCCCCGCTCTCTGTCCCCTCCACCACAGCCCAGAGCCCTCAGCAGACACTCTCATGACACACCTGGCAGGCCCTCTCTCTGCTCCTTCAGAGCAAGCGGGCCCCTCCCAGCCCAGCCCCTGGGACCCAGCCTTTGTAAGCAGAGAGCAGCCCCCGGATCCACCGCGACCTCAGCGAGGAACCCTCACACAGAACACGGCGCTCTTGTCTCATCTCAGGGGACCGTCCAGATGGAGCGGAGGCCACCAGCGAGGCCAGGGACATCCCCAAATCTGTCTTCTATTTTCATTTTGCTGCCTACCCGCTGCTGGAGGACATCTCAAGAAACTGCAGCATCCCTCAGGCTGACCTGCCGGGCAGCGCGTCCTGGCCCCAGGCACTGTCCTTGGAGGAGAGATGCGAGAGCTTCCTCCAGAAGAGGTACAGTCCTGGTTCTCCTGCGCGCCCCGGCCGTGGCCTGGGTGAGGAACAGTGGGGTTGGCTGGACGGCACAGAGGCCCTTCCAGCACCTAATGCTCCCCTCAGAGCCCAATTCCCCTTCCGACCAGCAGAAAAGGAGGAATGAGTTCAGGCCCGTGGGAAAGGAGGGCCTTATTTGGTTATCAGTCTCGAGCAGGGGCTGGCAAGCTGGGGCCTGCCAACCACGCCCAGCCCACGGCCCCACTGGGCTCCAGAAGCTTCCCTGGAAGAGTCAGGCCCAGGTACACACAGCATCCCTGGCTGCTGCGCACTCAGCAGCAGAGGGAGCAGCCACACCGGAGCCCGCAGGACCCCTGGAGCCAGCCATCCGCACGCCCTGTCCTTTCTCCACCCTCTGGACGTGTGGTGTGTTAGGCACTTGCCTTCTCCCGCTGACCACGGTGTGGGTGGCGGTTAGGGCTCAGACCCCTGCTGAGCCCTTGAACATGGCTCAAGAGCAGACCTACCACCGTAACGGAGTAATTCCCCATTACAAAAAGCGATACTCATTTTTGATGATACATTATACATGCGCTTGTAGAAATTGAGAGACTAAGACGATACGAAGGGGAAAATCTAAATACTCCACAATCCCCGCACCGCCATTCACGTGTTAGTGCACGTCCTTCCAGGTGTTTCCCTCGCGTGTCTGCTGTGTTGAGACCACGCTTCGTGTTCGCTTTCACCTGCTCGGAGGAGGAGACAGTCCCTTCTGCCCTGACTGTCTGTGGTCTCTCCCACCTGCTGGCTCCCAAGTGTCTCTCCCCCCTCCCAACCCAGCTCAGCTCCCAGGACCCCACCCAGCCTCCCTGGGCCCACAGTGCCGGCTGCGGGGGAAGACTGCCCCCAGGGACACTGCGGAGGGAAGAGGGCTGGAGCCGGCGGGGCTGACGGGGTGGGGGGCACAGGAGACACGGGCACAGCGGGGGGCTATCGGAGTAGCGGGTGCTCCGGGTAGTGCTGCTGGGTCCAGGGACCCTGCAGGGGCCGGGAGGGGCGCACTGTGTGGTTGTGGCAGCCCTGCTCGGAGGAGCCCCTACGGAGACCTAATCACAGTGCTCCAATCACACCCCTTGTCGCAACCCGTCTTCTGAGTTGGGGCCCAGCGATAAGCTGGGAAACACGATGATTGAGCGAAGGCGCTTCTGTCCTCACTGCGCTGAGGCTGACGCCTGGGGCTTTGAAAACGACTCCGGCGAACCCCCTCCTGCTCACAACCAGGATCTGTCATGACCATTTTCCTCTCACTGCTTATCGCACGCTCTGTGTACACCTCAAAGATTTTAATTTTTTTTTTTTTTTGTATTTATAGCTTGAGCCTGGAAGTTTTCCACTGGCCCTAAAACTAGGTGAAATTTTAAGGCAACGGGTTCATGTGGCAATAGAGTCAAAGTTGCAGACCTGCAACAGTCTGTCCAAAGTGTTTTCACAAAATCTGCCCTGGGGCTTTCGTAAGCAGCAGCGTGGAACGGAGCCCGCCTTCCGGGCTCTGAGAGGCGGCCGGCTGGTGCCAAGTGTGCCGCCACCCGCCCGCCCCTCAGCCTGGCTTCTGCTCCCATCCCAGTTGGGCCAAACTTTGACCACGAGAGAGAAATTTCAGGCCACCAGGAAACAGACAGAAACAGAGCCTGTCTCTCCTGCCTGTCCGTCTCCCTTTATTCCCTGTGGAATACAGGCCACGCACAGTCTAGGTTCTACCTGCCCAGCTTTCTGCCGTAAGTGGGCGTCTGGGGTGACCCGGCAGACCCGGGGCCCACAGGCAGGTGGCTCCCTTGGTGAGGGGCTGGGCAGGCCCTGTGTGGACACCAGGGGAAGCTTCTCTTGAGGCTGGAGGAGGGTAAGGGATGGTGTTCCAACTCCCTTTGTTAGGGTCCTCAGAGAGGAAACCGTGGGCCCACCCTTCCTTTCCTTTGCTTTCCTTGGGAAACAAAGGGATGATTCCCTAAAAATTATCTATAGATGCACAGACGCCAAACGTGCACACAGTCAGGCTCCTGGAAGTCCAAGTCTTTGTGGGAGCGAAGCGGGGACTGGGCAGACTGCAGCTGTCCCATGCATTTGAAAGGCAGGTGAATATGCACTCATTTGTTATTTAAACAAACAAACAAACAAAAACGCCTTCTTATTTTTTAAAGACTGAAGTCAAGCTCTCTCCTGGGGGCCCTCCCCAGGCTACGGTTCTCATCCTCCTTTCTGCACTTGACCTCTGTGGCACTTAGATGCCTCCTGTCCCAAGTGCTCTTACTCACTGGGGACAGGGACCGGCTGTTGTGGTCACGTTGGTCTTCCCAGTGCTTGCACCAGTGTGTCACTGGCAGATGCTCAAGGAACGCTTGTGAAACGGCGTGTTGGCATCCTGACGTGTCTACTGTCGTTCCGTGCTCACAGACTTCAGTTCCTAAGTTCGAGTTTGTTACTGTGCGTGTACCTCGTGATTTGGAAAGCCACCCCTCACTCCTTCAGTAAAGGTGTTTCGGGGGCCCGCTGTGCCCCCTGCTGAGTCCTGAGGACTCAGAGAGGAAGCAGACCTGCGTCGCTTGGAGAATGTATAGCACAGGGCGGTCAAGGTCTGCCCTCGGGACCTGGGGGCAGGTGGGGGGCACGGCACAAAGCAGGCTCTTCTCATCTCCAACCGTGTGGCCCCAGGTTTCAGAAGCTGGAGCACCAGGTGAAGGAGCAGGAGCACTGGACCCGGCTGCGGAGGTATTCCTTGCTCCTCCAGAGAGAGAACGTCAAGAAGTGACTGGGACGCCGCCCCGGGCTCCCTGAAGGGGCCCCAGCAGCAGGCAGGCCTCGCCCCGAGAGGCCCTGGAGGGAAGAGGGTTGGTGACAAAGGGCTGCAGCTCAGGAGGTCCCCGGGGCTGGACTTGCCGACAGGGACCCCCGCAGAGAGGGACTATTTTCAGTTGTTTCAATGACTGTGCCACTTGTCTGAGCCCCCAGGCGGACAGATGTGTCACCCAAATAAACAGCGATACTGTTTCCAGGCTCAGGCAACGCAGTCCACCAGCGTCCCAGGCCCTCTGGGGAGGCCCGCCCGATGGGCCCGGGGCCCCTCTGCTCAACCGAGCAGGACGCCCAGCCCACCCCAGCTACTGTGTGGCCCCCGTCTTTCCCCTCCCACTCCCCGTCCCTCTGTGCTGCCCCACAACCTTTACGGAATCGCCTTGGAGAGACTGAGGCCCAGGCTGGTTGGTCGAGTGCCTGAGGTCACACGGGTGTGAGAGGCAGAGGTGCCAGGTGAGGTGGCGGGCAGGCACCGTGCCACGACTGCCCTGGCCGGCTGGCCCGGAACCGAGAGGAGACTGGAGGGCCTGAGGGGCCCAGGAGCGGGCAGAGAGGCGCCTTTGTCTTCTTCGGAAACCGCCCTTTCCAGGAAAACTGGATGAAGGGTCCCAGCAGGGCAAGGGCTGCGTGCGCCTCTCCGAGGACACCGAGTGGCGGGCTTGAGAACTGCAGGGCATTGACCGGTCGCGGCCTCCAGGATAACCTGCCCACCCACAGCCGGCTGCACACAGGGTTGGTGACGGCAGCTTCTCGTGTGTCCCTTCCCCTGGGTCACACACTTGCTCCTTGTTGGCGGCGCACCTCCCTCACGGCGCTGGCACCAACTAGCTGAATGTCCCCTGGATGAAGGGGTCCCAGACAGAGACACTCCCCTTCCTCTGATCCCCACCCAGATTCACAGTGTGACCCCGGCATGTCCCTGAGTGTGATCGGCTTAGTGGCCCCTCCTTAAAGCACCGGCCCCTCCAGCGCCAGCGTTTACACAGCACCTGTCCCAGCCCGAACGTGTGCAGTCGACATGCAGAAGCATGTTTCCTGCCCACCTGCACGCGGAGCCGTATTTTACACCTGGAACACACGCACGCACGCCCACTTGCCACCAGGGCTGTTCTAAAGAGCAGAAGTGCCGCCCACCACCCACAGCTGTCCCCACCGCAACAGCCACGTACTAGTTTTGTGACGATCTCAACCTTCCACATCCTGACTGGTAAGATAGCACACACCTACCTGCCTCGTCCCGGCTCTGAGGCTAAAATGCCTTGAAATTAGATGGTGAACCTATCATCCTACACACAGAGCCTGGCCCACGGTCGCTGCTCTAAACATGCGTGCTCCTCCATCACGTGAGCTCCCCCCCGTGGGGCTAGGCAAGCACTGTTGGCGCGCGGTGACCAGAGTCAGCAGGCCGGCCCGGTGGGCGCCCCCGGGGCCGATGTGTCACCCTCTCCCACCGTCCAGGCTGCTCCGCACCAGGGCGCCCTGCCAGGGCCGCGCGTGAGGTGAGCTGGCAGCCGGTGCCCTCTGTCCTTGAGACAGGCTGGCGTTCAGCCGCCCAAGAGGCTGTGCCCCCGTGAGTGAGCGCACAGGCTCTGGGGTCACATAGGGACCCAACCCCAAGGCTACCACTGAACATTTATACGAACATGTTGTCCGTTACCCTCCTCCCTACGTCACATTGCTGTCCTTAAGATGGCCCGTTAGCTGGGTCTTACCCCACAGGTTAGCTGAGAGGTGAGAGGGAGCACGTGTCCACGGCTCACCTACCTGGACGCTGGTGACTGTCCTGTCCCTTTGAATGGCCGTGCACGTTCCGCTGAGAAGGGGCTGGCCCAGGAAGGGGTGGGGGCGAGGAACGGTGGGAGGTACCCTTCTCATCTCCAGTCCTCCTGCTTATTAGCAGAGACCTGTTAATGAAAACCACACCTAGGTGCTAATAAACGGCAGGAGGCCCCAGCTCTGGCAGGGAGGGGGATCCCTCCGCAGGGGGAGCTGGCGGACTAGCCCCACTTATCTGTGAAAAGACTTGCTAATAACTTTAATTCGCCCTCCTAAGCCACGGGTCCTTTGCCATGCAAACAGATTTTCTAAACCTGTTTAGGTTCCTGGAGAAAACATCCATCCACCCCCCTGAGGGCCGTGGGAGGGCAGCGTGACAACAGGATGGAGGCCCAGGAAAGTGGGGGCGTTCCGTGAAGGGGTAAGGTCCCACCTGCGCTTTGGGCTCCCGCTCTCCAAAGCCAAATGTGGCCAGGGCACACCCGAAGGGCCGGCAGCGAGCCCCACCCCACCAGCAATTGCAGCCCCTCCGGGCCGAGGCAGGAGCCCTGGGAAGGATCCGAGACGTGGGGTCAAAACAAGCCCATCAACAGCAATGGATAAATAGACTGTGGTCTGTAAATACAACGGAATACTACGGGGCAAAAAAGAAAAGAGAAAAAGAAAGGAACCGCTAGACTGTTATACAGACAACACAATGAACCTTGAAAACCTTATGTTAAGTGCGAAAAGCCAGACACAATGCCCCACGTATATGGTGAGATCCATTCCCCCGAAATGCTCACAACAGGCAGATCTACAGAGAAAGTAGGGCAGTGAGCGGGGGTGGGGCGCAGGCGTGGCATCGTGGGGGAGTGACTGCTAATGGGGATGGTTTCCTTTTTCAAAAAAAAAAATTGTATTGGATTTATTGGGGTGACACTGCTTAATTAAACATTACGTTTCAGAGGGTTTCTCCTTTGGGAGGTGAAGAAAACGTTCTAAAATGAGCGGCTGCCAGCGGCATGACTCTACGCGTATACACAAACCATCCAGACGAACTCTAAAGGATGTAAATTTTATCTGAATTAAGGACTTAAAAAAACAACAAACAAATAACAAGGCCTGTGTTTCAAAGCAGCTGGAGGGGGTGGGAGAGCTAGGTATCCACAGAGGGCCGAGGACCCTGGCACACGGACCCTGTGTCCCCTCGCCCACCTCCCCCACCGGGCCTGGCTGCTCGCCAGACCCCCTGACCCAAGCCAGGCTGCTGGGCCCACACTTCCCCTCCGTAATCTGAACCCAGCCAGCGTAGACGGGGGTGTGCGGCTGGGCCTGGTTCTGGGTCAGTGGTGTGGACTTGCGTGTAGCCCAATGGCCCTGTCATCTCATCTGGGCCTCGGGGAGGTCACGTTTCCATAAACTCAAAATTATCTCACTGACGTTATTTTTTGTCCCTAAACCACCAGGGAGAGAAACCTGAGGGAAGGGAGATGGGACAATCCCAGGGTCCAGGCCAGGGGGAATGGGGACTCGGGGCACAGAAACGTCCCCTTGGATGGAGGTGGTGTCCCCTCCACCTCAGAATGAATGGAGCTGCTGACAAATCCTGCCAGCGCCAGAGTGTTGCTCCTTGGTTTAGGCTTCTGCAAAATGGTTTTTCTGAGTTTAAAATGTGTAAAGAGCCCGATACAATAAATACTAATGGAGATGCACTGTCTGCAGGTACTTTGGTTTTTTCCAGCCGCGCACCAGGTTCAAAGACAAGACGGACAGACGCCATTTTCTGCCACGTTTCCATGGGAAGCCCCGCCCCCCACCCTGTTCTGGGCTGACCAGGCTGAACCGACGGCGCCGGGGGCGAAGACTGCAAGAAACCCTCCCAACTTCCCTACATCCTCCTCTGGAGAAGACGGAGGGAGCTTTGCGTCCACGCAAAGAAAGAGGAACTTGCCAATTGACACGAGCACTTTATTCACAAATAAATAACTACGTATGAAGCAGAACTTCCAGGCTGCCTCAAAGTGTCTGCTCTGTGGGTCCCACGGTGGGAGGGGCTGGGGTAGGTGGTGCTGGGGGGACAGGCTCCCACCCGCAGGGGTGCCCGTGCCAGCCTCGCCGGCGCCCGCGGCCAGGACAGGGAGTCTGAGAGGAACCCCTTCGAAGGTGCCGAGGCCAACAAGGCCGCAGTGCTCACTGCGCCCCTTGTCTGTCAGGCGTTACTTCGACTATTCAGGCCGGTGGCCACTCCAGGGGCGAGAGGGACATCCAGGTCTCCAGCTGGGGCAGCGCGTGGCACGGAAAGAGCTGAGGGGGGGGCAGGGAAGAGCGCGGCTCTCAGCGCTCGTGGGCTCCACTCTCAGGGAGCCCTGCCCCCTGCGCGTCCCTTCCCTCCCGTCACCGCTTGGGCACCCCGGGTACGCCGGCCGTGACGCTCTCAGGAGCGCGTGCAGAGGCCAGGCTGCGCGCCCAGTGGGGGGCGCCCCCACGACGGCGGGGGCGGGAGATACTAACCGGAGACGAGGCGTCCGGCCCCGTCGCCAGCCCTTCCAGGCACGCCGCCTCGTCGTAGAGCACCGGCGCGGGCGCCGCTGGGGCCCCGGGACAGGCGGGCGGAGACCCCCAGGCCCCCACGGCGCGGGCGGTCGAACCCAGGCCCGACCCGCGCGCCTGCGCCGGCACAGGGCCGCCGCCGGGGCAGAGCAGGCAACCCTGAGCGAGCGCCGCGTCGCCGCGTCGCCGGCGCCGTAGGCTCTCCTCGCTGAGGCCCAGCACGGCCGACAGGTGGCCGATGTAGCGGATGGCCAGGCGCAGCGTCTCGATCTTGGTCAGGCTCTGGCCGGCGGGCGCCACGGACGGCGGCAGGAAGCGGCGCAGCTCGTGCAGGGCGCGGGCGAGCGTGCGCATGCGCAGCTTCTCGCGCTCGCTGGCGCTCTGCCGCTGCCCGACGCCCAGGCGGCTGCTCCGGGCGCCGCGCCGCCCGGCGCGAGGAGCGCGAGGGGCTGCGCGAGTGCAGGGCCGACCCGGGCTCGGCACGGGGCTGCCGCCCGGGGCGCTGCCCCAGGAGGTCGGGGACGAGGCAGGGGAGCAGCCGCAGCCCGTGTCGGAACGGGGAGGTTGCTGAGCTGCGCCCCAGCACGTGGGGAGCACCCAGGACCCGGAGAGCGGCGGGCACAGGGACTGGGCCATGGCAGCGGCGGTGCCTCTGGAGACTGTTGGCGCGACCGCCTTATCCCTGAAGCCACGGCTTTATCCCGAGCCAGAGGTGTGAAGTGGCCTCTTCCAGGCCACATCAGCACTTCAAAGCCGGCTTGGGGCCTGGAGGGGGCGGGGCCTGACCCTTTGAACCAACGCAGGGGTGTTGGGGGAAGAAGGTGCTGGCCAGTTGGCTGCATGGGTTTGGTCCCATCTGAGCCATCGCGGGCACCCGGGCACCTGTCAGGGCCTGCGCCCAGACCTGGCTGTTGGGCCAGCTCAGCAGGTTAAAGGAAGCGGGGTCACAGACCTCGAAGTCCAGTACCTAGGTTTGGGACTGCCTTCACCTGTTGGGGGCCTTATGCAAAGAATTAAATTTCCTTGCACCTTCATTTCCAATTTGTATAATGGGATCCTCAGGCCCTGCAGCAGCAGGTCTGTAAAATCAGCTGGGACGCAGCGTGAGGCCCTGGTTCCCGCTAGAGGCGAGGGGAACAGTAATCCGTCCCTCCTCTGAGGCAGGCTGATCCTGGACGCACCCTTCCCACGCGGTGGCGAGCTGGGGGAACCGCGATGAGGAGGCTCTCCCAGGCACCTCTCCAAGAGCTGGCGCGATCTGCTCAGGCTGCTGGACCACCTGAGCTGAGGGAGGGGTGAGCCTGCTGGCCTCCAGGACACCCTCAGCCTGGCAGTATCAGGGGCTTGGCCTGTTGCTACCACTGTCCTCTAGCTGGTGTTCTGCCACTTTGGGGAAGGCTTACAGGCTTTGCCAATGAAATGAATGGAAATAACAAAACACATCTGACAAAATTCAACAGCAAACTAGGAATAGAGGGGAGCGTTCTCAGTCTGATCAAAGGCATCTGCAAAGGACAGGCAGCTGACATATGGAATAGTGAAAGACTGCAAGCTTTCCAGCCAATATTGAGAAAAGGGCAAGGACGTCTGCTCCTACCCATGCCTTCCTATTCAGCATTGCCCTGGAGGGTTTAGCTTATGCAATATGAAAAAACAAAAGGCATACAGGTTGAAAAGGAAGAAATAAAATCCTCTCTATTTACAGACGATATGACTGTCACACAGGAACTCTCACAGAGAATTAACATGGCCTGCCTCCTCCCTCCAGGTGGAGTCTGTACCCTGTCATGACAGCTACTTCATGTGTGACGCTCTCCAGCTGGACGTGCAGCACTTGGTGCCTGGCTTCGTGTCCTCAGAAGTGCCAGGGTCTAAAGTGCAGCCTCCATGCTTCCAGCCCCGCGAGACCACAGGGTGAGCTGAGGGGAGAGAAAGCACAATGGCGTGGCCCCTTCTCCCCTGGCATCTCTGCCCACCACCGCCCCCGCCCCCTGTTGCTTTCATCTCGTATGCCTTTGACCTCCTCTGACACCTTCTGTGCCCCCTCCGCAGCAGCCTCTCCCAGCAGCCCCAGGATGCCCACGCCCACAGTCACACCTAGGAGAGGCAGGGCCAACCCACCCTGGGTGCACAGTGTAGGGCCCACTGACGCCCAGGGGAGCCTGGTCCCCCTCAGCCTGCAGCTGTTGGCAGGGTCTGCCTCTTCTGGACTCTGGCTATGGATGCTTTCTTAGGGCTCCCAATTTGAGCCAGGAACCTGGTACTGGAGCCCAGGGCCTGGGCCCCTCCCATCCTGCTGGACCCTGGGGAAGAAGGGGCTGGGACCTGGCAGCGTGTGCTGCGCACAGCACGGGAAAGGTGCAGGGTAAAGGCTAGACAGGCAGGAGCGTGGGATCTCAGAGGGTCTGGGTGCCCTGTCGCCAGCCTTCTAAGTATCAAAAAATCCCTCTCTCCCCACAAACGAGTAGTTGTGATCTCCACTCGTTTGTTGGCAACAATGCTTTGAAGTGAATTTGTATTTCATTAAGTACGAAGTCAACTAGACATACTCAGACAAGACTGTCCTGAGCGCACAGCTCTGGTGCCTGGGGATGCCTGGGACCTGGTGGTTACCATTCACTGGGCGCGAACACGGGAGCCACCGAGAGCTTGGGAGCAGGAGAGGGCACCCTACGTGGTGCGTGACAGTAGGGTTTCTGGTGTCAGGGCTGAGGGAGGGTTAAAAAGACCCAGGAGTGTGGAGACAAAAGAGTTGACAAATTGGAAGTGCCACGTGGGAGTCCCTCCCTCCCCTGCTGCCCCTGGGGTCTCTGGGCCCAGACTGTGCAAAGGCTGTAGTTAGTGGGCCTGATGGAGCCGGGGGGTGGGGGCAGAGGAGGAACCCCAACCTGGAGCCTGGGTTCTACCACCTCCTGCCAGCAACCTCCCTCTTCCCTTTCCCCAAGCCTCTGTCACCTTTGATCTCCTTATCGCCTGCCTCTCTGGTGGGTTCATCTGGGAGTTGTCCCGGCTAATGAGTTCTCCAGGCAGCAGGGCCCACACGCCCTCCTGCTGGGGTGAGGACTTCACACCCAGGGGCCTGTGTTTTGACAAGTGCCGGAGCCAGTGGCTCCTGCTCCCCTGCCTGAGCCTGCTGCCTCCGCCTGCCAAAGTGTAAGGCTGGGAAATGAGGCCTGGGGGCAGCCCCACTGAGCAGAGGTGAGAGTTCCGTGGGGTCCTTGGCCAGGGTGGAGGGCAGGGCAGCGCCCCAGTAGGCTGGGGAACGGACCTCAGCCTTCCCCCTGGCTTGCCTCCCCGCTAGGAACCCCCAGTCTCCTCGGCCGAGCCTGGTCTTGGGCGCTGCTCCCCCACCTCCGAGCCCTGGTGCCCGCGTTCCCCGGCCAGCCTCCCCGACACAGGAGTGCTAATCAAAGGTGCTATGTCAATACGCCCCTTGCAGCCCTGAATCCCTGTGTCTGCTGGAGCCAGAGCCCCCAGGAGAAGGAAGCGGCTCTTGTACTGCCAGCCTGCTTAGCGTCAGCCGTCTCATCCCTGGGGAGGCTCCTAATTTGGGGTCCCCTACTGCCAGGGGTCTCCCCACCACCCCTCACACCACCCGAGAGGCAAGCCCTTTCAGGGAGTGGTTGTTCTTTACAGAGGCCCCACCTTCAGACAGCCTAGGACACCCTCCTGGAGTGTGGAGTCCCTGTCCTGCCAGGTCCTACCTGTGTCACTCACTCTCGTCTCTGGGCCCCAGGGTAAGTGACACCAACCGTGCTGGCGTGGCAAGGACCAAATCACACCCCCACGCAGGCCCGCACGGCTGCCTGGGGCCGGGCACTGCGCTGGCACTCAGCCGGGTCGCAAAGCACAGCCGTGCTGTGATGTGGGTGTTTACAACTCACTTGGTCGTTGAGGAAACAGAGTGGCGAGAGGTTGTCCCATGTCCCCTGTCTTTGATCACCTCCATAAACAAGCCTCTCACTCCCAAGCTGGGGTCCGCCTGGCTCTGTCTGGGGCCACAGCCTGTGTTGCCTGGCTGTCTCTGAGTCTGGGGGACTCGAGTGGCCCCCGTCCTGCAGGAGGGCCGCCCCGAGAGCGAGGGTGCCAGGGCGGGGTCCTCAAGCCCCCAGGGAACCTTGCTCCACATCAGAGGGACCTAGGGAGGTGAAAAAAGAGAAAGGTCTCCAGGCCCACCCTGGACCGGAGGGCGCAGCCAGAGTCTGGGTCTGAGAGGGAGACCTCTCCGGATCAGGACACCCGGCATCTTTGAGAAACAGCGGCTAGAGCGGACACCCCCGAGGACAGACAGTGGGAAAGGCCTGGGAGTGCCTGCCCCCCGCCACGGGATCCTAGGCACTCCCTGGGCCGCAGAGAGAGGAGGTAGGAGCTGGGGCTGGAGAGGGGGCCGCGGCCGCCTGGAGCCCAGAGCAGTCGAGGGCCCAGCACTGAGGACCCCACCTCCTCCTCCGCGTGCCTCCCTCCCTCCCCGCAGCCTCCCAGCTCCAGCCTGAGGCTCCTGGGGAGCCCCTGCCCGCTGGGACCACCCCCTCTCCTCACACCTCCGGCTCCCGGAGCCACTGAGTTGGCAAGCCATCTGGAATAGATTATCCTGGAACCACGGTAATCTGATTATCTTGGCCACGGGTCAGCTGGATGTGCCGCCCGTGGAAGTCACAGGAGGCAGGGGGGTGCTGAGGAGGGGGGGCGGGGAGGAAGGGGGGAGACTGGCGGATTCCGGGAAAGGGTCAAGAGAGGCGCCAAGATCTGCGTGGCGAGAAAGCGGGCGAGCAGGCAGTGCCTCCCTCCTTGGGGGTGGGGCGGGGGGGGGCACGCGTTGCTCCTTTGCTCCATCTGGGTGCGCAGAGGGGGGTCTAAGCTTCACAGTGAAAGGCGGGGATACAGAGGCATCAAGTGGGGCCTCTGTTTCTCCAACTGCAAAGTGGAGCAGGGACTCCCACCCGCCTGCTAAGGGGTCCTGGGTGCTGTGCACGCCCTGCTGAGAGCGTCTGTCTCAGGCCGCGGTGCTGACCCAAGTCACGCATACGGGACACAGCATGCGGGTGGGTACAGGATACACTAGGCGTGCTTGCATTTCCTCCACCGATGTCAGAGGGCGCTGCCCAGCCACCTGGGATCTTGGGATCTGAAAAGGGCAGACCTACCTCTAAGCCTAGAGGTCTTTTTCCTCCAGCCGGGGCCAGTGCAAGGTAGAGCGGTGGGCCCGGTCACCCAGCGCATGGGCCAGAGATGCTGGGCTGCCTGCAGAAGTCGGGGAAGCTGGCTTGGTGCCGGCATGATGGGCTCTGTGGCCCCGACAGGCCACTTGCCTTCTCTGGTCTGCCGTCTGCTCCTCTGTCCACGGGGGAAGTCACACATCTGTGAGCGGAGGCAGGGCGAGGCAGAGCCTAGCCCCGGCCAGCGTGGCTCCGTGGGCTGGAGTGTTCCTGTAACATGAAAGGCCGGGGATCCGATTCCTGGTCAGGGTGCGTATGAGAAGGCAACCAACTGATGTTTCTCACATCGGCATTTCTCACTTTCTTCCTCTCTAAAAGCAATGAAAAAATGTCCTCGGGTGAGGATTAAAAACAATTTTTTTTTTTCAATAAAAATACAGAGCCTAGAGGAGTGGGGAGAAGGGGACTGGCTCAGGAGGG